GGGTCATATTCAAGTCTTGCCGTGCAATCTTAATAATTTGGCGTTTTGTGTCGAGACCGCCACTGGTCAAACGTGTCTTTCAGGAGAAATACGGCTAAGGAAATAGATATATCATTTTTAATACACGGAAACAATTATTTATCAACTGTTTGTGTATGCTAACCTAGACCGAAACATCTGTCTCTATTCCAGCCTCTGACAGCTATTGTGGTCAGCTGGTGTAGAGACAGAAAAAATAGGCCATGTTAAACGGGTTCATTCCGCATCTCCGCAGGTTCGGAGGTTTTAAACTTGTTTATATACCTCGGATCTGCAAAACCCAGGTACATTTGGAAAGATGAATATTTTTGTAGTTCAGTCATACCATCATTTTCTCCATACACCAGCTATGTCATGTCTCCGGTTCAGTGGCGGAGCCAAAGGGGGGGCAGAGGGGGCAGCCGCACCCCCCCCCCCCCCACCCCCCTCGCAGCCCCGAAAGCAAGTTTTTCGGGCAAAACAAAAATCTCACAACTATATTACAAATTCGGGCAATCTCAGATATTTCGCCCTCCCTCGGACATAAACCTGGCTCCGCCACTGCTCCGGTTCAATCAAATTATTTTTTGGCGAAACTAGCAGCGGCCATTTAAAACTCCGTGCGTAGTCAAACGTTTAAAGGTCACAGAGTCCAAAAAACAAAACGAAAGTTATGGTGATGCCCAACACTAATTTACAATCATCTTAAAGGTAATTCAATATTATGTTAGAGAAAACGTATCTAGGGAGGTGTGGAAAATCTTCATTTAACAGGGTCTGACTCAACTTCATTCTTTGAATATGACAACTTTATTTTCATAGTCTATTAAAAATTATATAAACGTCATTTATTGGCTCACAATATGAAATAGCAAGGTTATGCAAATGAATGCATCAAAACATACTGAATAAAAGTAAATGATTGCACAAAAATTAGTATTGCTTATTTTTCTATAATATGAATCATCATAAAGTGTCCCTCATCTGACCGGCTTGGAAGACATGATATATTTTTTTGATAATGAACACGTCTGTCACCGATTGTCAAATACAACGGATATTTAAGTTCTGTTTCATTTTGATTACAGTAAGAAGGATAAAAGAACATTGCACATTGAATGGAATGAAATATCAAATTGAGGTAAATAAGCATGGATTTTTGCTGGTTCAACTTTTAACGTTTCTTCACAAAATATATCGTCAACCAATCAAAATCTACTGGATCAGTTTTCATTGATCAAATATTACGTTCTTGTCGGTTAATTGAATTTATCTTTAATTGAGAAATTGCGAATCAGAAACTCAGCTCTAGTCAATTAAAATGACTTTGCGTTGTTAAAGACATAAGTTGGTTACATTGTATATAAAAACACTTCCTGCAAGCATTTTCATCTGATGACACACCGATAAAATATGTAATGTACACCTTTTATCAACGCAAAACCATTCTAAGACTATCAGAACTATTTTGATCCGATATCCAAATAAACATAACAATAATCGGTAAAATTCTGTGCCAAGATAGTTCATGTATATGTTGAAATTAACAAACAATCCTTGTGACATTAAAAGGGATGGTCATCACTCTCATTAAAATATTAATACTGTATATTAAGTTGTTAGTCGTGAGTATTAGTTTAACATAGTAATCGATAACTTCCGTTAAAACAGGAAGTACCTCTGTGCCAGGGATAACCTACTGGACGCTGGACACTCAAGAACTTCCGGTTTGACACTGCCATCGTCTTCATCATGGAGTAGTTGAACTTTATACGTTTGTGGATTAACTAAAAGAAATTATAATCGGAGATTTACACATAATCAGTATGGTAAGATGTATATTTTCTGAGCGCAACAAAGAAAAACTTGTTTCAAATGAAATGACCAGGAGTTTAAAAGTTAAATGTTTTATGCCAATGTTACTGATCGAGCTAATGAAGACTGGTAAAGTCACGAGATAAAGTTCTGTAACATAAGCCTACTTCCAACTGATCGGTGCACAGTCTGGTATCGACCAATATAATATGAAAATGCGCAACATAATGCGTAGATTAATCTTGCCAAAGACTTGTCATGCATGCTGGCTTATGATTGATTGTAATTAACTCTTTCTGGGAATAACCATTAAATTTTTAAAATATTACCTTCAATATTTGGACAATAATTATTCCTTATCATACTGGTCTTGTTGACAGTTCTACATGATTTCACAGCTACAATAGATTTACTTAAACCATAATCATGTACATAGCCAGTTTCTAACGACGCCTGAAAATATAACAGATTAAATTTCAAAAACTGTAAAATCTGTGTCACGCGACTCCATCTCTCATTTTCAGATATTTTTATCACTTAATCGTTCAACGTCCTCTCTTTGACTTCATATAGCTACTTTTCATACTAAGTTATGAGTAATATTTGATTAAGTAATCTGATAATCCTTACCTTTGAAACGAATACAACAGAATGAGCACCGACAGATTTTCCATACGCTCCGAACATTTTTCTTTGTTTAACTGGTTCTGGTGTAGGTATAGATGCGTTTGGCATTCCTGTAATTCACGACAGATTAAAATTAAATTGAAAGCATATCTCTACTATCATATATCTCCAGCATCATTTTTTGATATTTTATCAGCTTAATATGTCTCATATAGATAATATGTACTTACCCATTTGTGCCCATGCTATCTGTCCTCCTTTGATTATCATGTTTGGTTTGGCACCAAAAAATGCTGGGTTCCATAACACCAAATCTGCTAGTTTACCAACCTTAAAAAATGCATTGTAATGGCAAGAATAAACCGCGAGGTACTGTTCAAGTTTTCACTCATTACCGTATGTCTCTGTGTAACTGTTGTTTTTTCTCCTACTAAATCATAGAGATGCACATAGGTTACAAATCATGACGCACCAAAATTACCAATCTGCTAAAGGATGTTGCATCAAAAACCTTTCTAGGGTATTATATTTTGTCTACTGATGATTATTTCTGATCATTTATGATTTTGTTGCTGTTGGTTTTGGCCTGCTGATTTAAAAGGTACCTACCTCAACTGATCCAACGATGTGACTAAAACCATGAGCTAAAGCAGGGTTAATAGTGTATTTGGCTACGTATCGTTTAACACGTTCATTGTCATTTTCTCCCTGTTAAATACATATATACATACAAAATTACTGCTTATTTTATGTCGTCATATTAAAGGTTATTAAAGATGGTGAAATATGAATGGCTCAGATCAATCAGTGTCTTTTCGAATTTAATTGTTATTTATTCATTTTGCAACACATGATTATTGGTGTTACACTACATGAAAGTTTGTTGAAGTAGTTTTCCCTTGGATAGGCAATCCTTTCTCCAATGAACGGTTTTACACGCTACTCTTCTTCCACAATGATTATTTGTGTGACGTGAACATGTAAGATTTGGTGACCTATTATAAAACACCAAATTTGTTGAAATAGTCCAGTGGACTATATTCTCTTTAATGTAAGTAATATTCAGATATACTTACTGTTTCTTCCGGAAGTTGACCTCTAAATAACTTCATCTTATCAGCTGTTTGCCAATTGCGTGTTATAACTTCACCAATTCTACCCATGGCCTTGAAATATGAATAGATACTATTGCTAGAACTAACTGAAGCTCCAATTCATCTTCTTATAGAAAGATAAGTACATGTATAAGCTAATGACAAAACCATTATTGGAAACAATTATAACTGTTTCCCAAAAAGAAAGTTTTTAACGTAACAAATTTTCCATCCGCTCTATTCCTTTTGGTCTCTCTTTACTGTCAATTACGCACAAAAACTAATATATTGGTTTGATGCTGATTTATGGCAGATATATTGATGGCACTATAAAAATGTCTTAATGTTTAATAATAATAATAATAATACATTAACTTAGGCTTGCGGCAAGTCTCGCAAGCGAATACGCTCACTAGCAGCCTGATAAAGAGCTAAATGTGAACTGTAATTCTATATCGTAGCTTGTAGAGTGAGCACGAACCAAAAAAGTGAAAAAACGCGATAGCTCAAGAAAATCATCGGATCCTCACCAAATTCAATAGTGCACATCTTCATAATGATATTGACACACATACAAACAATCAAAAGAATCCTTGGAGAATTGTAGCCTGTAGAGTGGGCACGAGCAAAATAAGTGAAAAACACGAACGCGATATCGGAGTTTTATGTGATATCTCTAAAGAAAATCATCGGATCATCACCAAATTCAATAGTGCACATCTTCATAATGATATTGACACACATACAAAAGATCAAAAGAATCAATAGAGAATTGTAGTCTGTAGAGTGAGCACGAGCCAAAAAGTGAAAAAAAATGAATACCTGTGAATCAGAAGCCATCATACTTATTGCACCCATATCATGTAAAATATCTTCAGCTGCTATAGTTTCAGCTCTAATACGACTTTCGGCAAAGGCAACGTCTTCTTTCAGATTTCTAGAATTAGAAGAAATTGCCTTTCAAAGACATACTATGAACTTTAGAAGTCAGTTGATAGTGAGGGAAATAAGATGTTTTATAGAGTTTTAGACTTCAAAACTACCCTAAACTAAGTGCATCACGGTCAAATACCATTACCTCGACAATTGGCTGTTCGTGAATAACATTTATACTAAATCTCAAATTCTACCCAATACCTGAATATCATGTTTTATGACTATAAGTTGAAAATCACGGACATCCTTACTTGTTTAAATGGTGACACACCATCAACATATCTAAATGCTCGTCAATGGTGTTGGATGTATATGGTCTTGTTGGATTGGTAGAAGATGGTAACACATTCATTACACCACACACTTTAATTATATCTGGTGCATGTCCTCCTCCAGCACCTTCAGAATGGTAAGCATGGATAGTACGTCCTTGAAGAGATTCTATAGTCTGTTCTACACAAGATGACTCATTGAGGGTATCCGTATGCAACATTACCTAGGAAAGGATTAACATTATTATGTGTCTACATTAATCAGGCTTCAAGATTCCGCCAGTTTGTTTAAGTGTCTCTTCCACTGACAAAAGTCCTGTAATTGCAATAGTTCGCCTCAAATTTGTCCATTCAACACAAATTCACAGACCGTATAACCATCTTGGGAATGCTTACCTGAACATCATATTCCTCAGCCGTTCTTAAAGCCGTATCAATAGCTGATGGTGTAGAACCCCAATCTTCGTGTAATTTTAATCTGTATTAAGTAGTAATGAATAACTGAATAAGAAGATCTGCTTGAAAAAGTACTACGGACCAAGAACAGAAGCAGAATTAGTCAGTAACTGTGCAAAAGCATTCATAACAAAACGATTCTTTAAATTAGTATCTGAGACAGACGCTGGAAGGCACTGATCTTCACAAGAAGAAGAATGGTTATTATTATGCAATTCCAAAGAAGAAATTTTGAATCTTACCCTACAGCCCCAGCTAATATTTGATCTCTTAAATCTACAGCTTGATCTGGAGCTGATGTATTACCCTTACCAGTAAACCCAAAATTCATCGGGAAAGCATCAGTACTCTGTAACATTTGTCTGAAATGCATCATAATATATTTATCAATATTGGATAAATTATATTGCCAGAACGATGTTGTCGTGGGATGTGGGAGCATCGTGGACGTACCGCATTTCTGGGTTTATTTTCTTTAAAGGGACATTCCGCTTTTTCGTAGGTCGGAAATTTTTTGCTCAATCTTGTGAAACTATACACCAAAATCTAGAGAAATATGTCCCTTGACGTATCTAAACTGTTTCAAAACATTACGTAACAAGTTCGTTATGCTTTTAGAAGCTGTTAGAAAACTGCTGTACGGATTTAATTAAAATACACGCCTACTTAAAGAGAAATATGTCTCCTATGTATTCTAAAGGTTTCAACTAATTATCATCAATTATTAGCAATTAATACTCTTTGTCCATAATACAATGCCTACTTAAACTTACTTGATATGATTAGGTCCTGGTGTACATGTTGTAGCATTAGTACCGGTTGCAGGTCCCGTGCCTCCACCAAGCAATGTAGTTAAACCAGACGCGATTGCCTCCCGAATCAGTTGTGGACAAATAAAATGGACATGAGCATCAATACCTCCAGCTGTTAATATCAGACCTTCACCAGCTATAGCCTCTGTACCAGCACCGACAATCAGATTCTTAAAGGACAATAAGTTTTATTGATAAACTTGGATTACTTGAAATTTTCGATTAGGATTGTGGGAACATGGGTACAGATATGTCATTATCTTTCAAACAACTGTTTTCCTACTACTCAAGCTTATGCCATGAATCTTATTAACGTGATATTCATATCCATATTATTCGGAATGCACCATAGTAAAAATGCTCACCTTGTCAACGCCGTCCATAATGTCAGGATTTCCAGATTTACCAATTCCTACGATTTTACCATTCTGGAAACAAACATAGGATATAAATAATTCTCTTGCTCAGAGAATACCGTTGTTTATATACTTGTATGTGTTTTGTTTTGTCAGACAAGCCAGTGGTATTCCTCACAATTTCTACCTAATATCCATGAATCAGTTTACGTTTTCATAAGATTTCAGTATAAGTTAAGCAAATTGTAAGTAGTTAGGATAACTTTTCAAATGTTTACCTTAATTCCTACATCAGCTTTGATTATACCAGTCACAGCATCTACTATCAATGCATTGGATATTACAGTATCCAGTACCTCTAGACACGGTCTATTAGCCGCCTGTCCCATACCTTCACGCAATACCTAAATGGTTAAAACCAATATAATGATACAATAAAAATGCGAAGAACATTCGTTTCATAATAAAATTGCAAAATATATCCTGTCCTGACGTATAAAGGGTATCTTCTATTTCTCAATGTTATACCTGGAAATGAAAGGTGTAGACTTTGGGTCAATTATTAGATCCACGTGAAACAAAGGCCCTCCAGTACGACCATTTTAGATATTTCTTTTATTTGTCTTTGGATGTATTTTGGTGACAGCCCGGATATATACTGAATTTGGGGCTCAGAGACTCCTAGTGCTCTGCCTTCTACGTCAATGTGTGTACATCTACTTCAGGTTGCTTCGCAATTTACTTACCTTCCCACCACCAAATGTTAATTCTTCACCATACACTGTATGGTCTTTCTCTACTTCAATTATCAAACTGGTGTCTCCTAGACGCACCTGACAAATATAAAAGTCGCTTTTCATAATCTTTCCATGGCCAAGAAACCAAGACATGTATTGCGGTACAACTATTGTCTTTTGCGTTCAATGCTTAAAACTCTCATCGTAAGTAGCTACTATTATTATAAACATGAATAATTCATCAAAAAGTAATTACCTTATCACCTGTGGTGGGACCATATGTATGAGCATAAATAGTTCTTGAAATGGTGGCTGGTTTAGTGGCAAGAACTTCAGACTAAAGGATGCAAAGTAAATTTATCATAATACTGTACTATTACAGCAGAAATTTGGCTTTAACATCGAAATGTTTCTTCACCAAGAATCATACTAGACGTATATTTAACTAAAGTAGATTTGATATCAAAAATAAGAAAAATGTAAATTTACAGTTTGTACAAATTCCCAAAAGCTCCTATTAATCTGATAACGAACCAATCCAATACCTGATCCTTGTGACCAAACTCCTTCTGTGCTATTTTATTCATTATTGGTACAACACGTTCTTCCTTCACTGGTCCATCGCACAGACTATTTCCTCCTCTTATTATTCTGTTAATAGATGAAAGATAATAGACCAAATATCGTTTGGACTTTACAGTATGGCCTCATATCACACTTGTTCATGCATCACTTCCAACATGCACTCAGGCAAGCACGATATCACTTTTCTAGTAATTCATGGATACAGACCAAAGCTTTCACTAGGATATGTGTTGGTTGAAGGTATGATATTAATGGCCTACGTTCGTGTGTATTGATTGCTTCCTGAAGTCCAACTGATGACTTACCTGTTACCCGCTATGGACGTTAGACATACAGTTTTGGTATCACCAGGTTCAAATCTCACAGCGGTTCCAGCCGGAATATTCTGTAAAAAATCAAAGTATATCTCTTTGGAGGTCATCGTCGCCTTAATCAGTTATATCCTTCTTCAATAATGTGCTGAGCTTATACTTCACGACATGCATATGTAGTATTTGATTAAACATCAAAAGCAAACAAACTCTTAATACAGACAATATCAATAATGTTGAAAACGAAACTATAAACTGGTATTTTCAAGATACTTAATCAGAATCAGCTTATACTTTAAAACATATATCTAGATCACTTACCAATCTCATTCCATATGATTGTCTTCTATCAAAAGTTAAATATTTATTGACTTCTATAAAATGATAGTGAGATCCCACCTAAATTAAACAGACGATAAAGCCAATTAATACACAAAATCTGGAAACGACTTCAAAAATAGATTGCGAAGAAATTGAAGTTGAAAACATATTTTTCATACCTTTTTTGTGAAAGGTATAACTAAAAACTGTAGGATTTAGAGCATTAATATTGAGGCAATATATGCAAATATCAACATTTTTTGTGATATAAAACTAACGTGTCATTTTTAAAAAATATTCTCACCAGCTATCTTTAAATCATCTAGAGCTTTTCTGATGTACTTACCTGAATTGGTCTATCACAAACACTGGTAACTCTCAGAGATTTGAGTTGTCTACCTTTATTTATAGTTATCTCCCCTTTTTGCGGCATGATTTCACCAGGAATGATTAAAACTGGTGCATCAATAGATTCACTGGTATCTCGAGCTTCGATCTCATACCTGTTTTTGATTTTCTGGGCAGCTTTAACAACCTGTTGAAATATGAGCCTATTAGATTTGCCTGTTGGCACCTTATAATAATTGGCTAAATTTACGACGAACCAGATGTTTCACTGTCACAGTTGGTTTAAAGTGTAAGTTCAGATAAACCTGTTGGTTTTCTCGGTTTGTTGTTCATTTATAAATTTGTTTCATAAACACAGCGTCAATGGGTGATTTCAAAGTTGGTGTTAACACCAGGTGTTTACACTAAACCCAACACTAACACCAGTTTCTACACCAACTTTGTAATCAATCAGCGATGTTGGTGTTAACGCCTGGTGTTGGTGTAACCTATTTCAAAGTTGGTGTTGGTGTTGACACCGACAGCGACACCAACACTAACACCCATTTCCACACCAACTTTGTAATCAAGCTGCGGTGTTGGTGTTAACACGTGGTGTTGGTGTAACCCCATTTCAAAGTTGGTGTTAAGTGTCAACATGCCACCATCTTAACACGGGGTGTTGGCACTACGAACTAAAGGTATGTTTTAGAAAAAGGTTAGATGTATATATCACTTGAAATGTGAATTGAGGAAACGTGCGGATTGAGTGCTGAGTGTGTCGGATTGATTACAAAGACCGATTAGTCGTAAGTCTTAATCAGTTTACGAAGGGCAAAAACCTTGGTTGATGACATTGCCACAATACCTTAGAATCGGACATACCTTAGAATCTGGACTAAATACGTTTAAATCAGGTATTGGTAGGAAGCTACCATAGAAAGCTAAATCCATATCACCGTCATCGGCACAAATTGGTGCATGAACAGTCACCTGAAATAAATTTATTTGTTCTTATTTATCTATATGTGAGTGTGCTGATGACGTCTCATGTTTCTGATTATACGGAAAATAACCCCTGTACCACGCCAATATCTGCTAGTTCGTTGAACAAAATGACTTGAAATAGGTGACGTTGAAACTATCTGACTAGTGCTATAGAGATCCTACCAATTTTGTGCCATCAGGAAAAGTAGCTTCAACCTGGATCTCATTCAACATGTCACCAACACCAGGCATTATCTGGTTACGACCTGAAGTCAAAATATCATACACAAATATCGGGTCAATATCTCGGATTATCCTCTGGAAAATTAGTTTTTTCAAACCAATGCAGTATATTTTGTTTTGAGGTAGAATAATAGCTATCAAACTAAGACTGTTATTGTTCATTGCTACTTTGACTCAAATAAAAGTGGGCTGTTCGTATGAATGTTTTGTATCGTGGGTAGATATTCACGGATAACCTCGAAACAAGTTAGATAAATTAGCACGTGTAGAGTAAATGACCTACTTTTAAAACTATATCTTAAGTGATTTCAAGTGAACTGTTATTTTATAAGACAAAATGTGTTTAAGAAAATTAAAGAAATTCTCATCTGGGTTTTTGGTGCTGTACGTTTTATTCATGATTTATGTGGTGAATAATCTCAGTCGATTTATAAACATGGAAGCCTCACAGAATCTCGATATCGACGAAGCGGAGAAGATATCAGACCACAGCAAAATAACAGCAGTGTTGACGTTTCCTTACTTGCACCAGCTTTCCTCGTCACAAACTGACTATAATGAATATAGCTCTCCACAAAAGGATCAGCGAATGGATGAATATGTTTCAAGCTTGCAATCCACTTTATTACACGATAAAATCAAGTCTGTTCATGTGCTGTATGATAGTGAACTTTTACCCGAATTCATCAAAGCGCGAATTTTTCAGAATGGTGAAAAACTGAAATTCCTGCAGACTGACCAACCAAGAAAAGCAATAAGTATATTTGAACACGCGTTTGATGAGTTAAATGGAGAGTTAGTGATGATAATTCAAGCAGACACGTATCCCGGGGATGGATTTGATCTGATACAAAAGAAGGTCTTGCTCCAACATCGTCTTATGTATGCCCTCTCAAGAAATGGACGGTTGGAAGATTCTTGCGACTTGACTGGTGAATTTTGTGAAATCAAGCCATATGTCGGATCGCATGATGCCTACATATTTGTTCCAATTGGTAAATTAAGTAACCAAGTCAAGAACGTATTGGACTCGAAAACCTCAGATTGGGGCATAGATAAACTAATTGTTTGGGTGTTCAAGAACATGCTGAAATATCGCGTGCTGAATCCATGCTACGTGATTCATATCTATCACAGGCATTGTTCATTTATTAGAAATACACAGCGTGGATTCGCAAACGATGACAACACTACGGGTTGGGCCTATCCAACCGACAAATTAATGTAAAATCATTTCCATGGGTTTTTGCTTAATTCCTGTATATAAAAAAGTAAGGTCAAGGTCCATTTTGCCGCTGGTAGAATCTGAGATCAAACAGATTTTCAGCTAAGTTTTAACGGCATCCGAGTTAACGTGATGAATTGCTGGATTTAGTTGTTCCGGACGCACCAACCACTGACAAATTGAGGTTTTCCGTCTGGTTCCAATAGTTCCTCATGTTCTATCATCTTGCAAAAATGGACCTGGTTGCGAATTCCTTAAGTTTTGTGCTCAAATATGTCAGTTATATATTTTGTAGAAAACAAATTAACGAATAAAAGCTGTGTTTATCCATTGATTGTCTTTTTTATTGTTACCTAACATAGTGTGTATTTCTAATGTTACCTAACAAGTAACCAGGGACGTTGGCCAAATTTCAGGGAAGGACTTTAGTCCAATACCGTCTCTAGTTTGTATAGTCATAGGGAAACTGGGCTATTATAATATAGTCTATAACTTACCAAGCATTCTTCTCCCTAGATCCATTAATTCAGACACCGAAAGACCATCTCTTGCTAGCTCTTGCAGCTAGAATGAAATGAAATGAAAAACAATATCCAACAGCATATTTATACAATCAAATAACATGATAAATACATTCAGTCATCCGGACTAGAATCAAATAACTTTTTTGGTTTGTGAATATATTTTTCATAACCACAAGCATTCAAAACATTCGCTTCGCACAATGGTAGTTCTCTGTGATAAAAATGTCCCAAAAGTTAACTTATCTTGAATCTTCAAGATATGTCAATTCGCATAGAACGAATCTGCAATGAAAAGAATCTTTCTCGTTCTCTGAAATTTTATGTACAATCAAGTTTGGAATGGGGGTTAAATTCCAGAGATAAAAAATGAAATTGAAACAATTATCTACTTACTTGTAAAGCAATCAGAGCGACAGTTTCAGGGTGATTTAACCTGACACCCCGTGCAAGACGTCTCTGGGCCACACTACCAGCCTGATAAACAAGGAGGCCTTCCTGTTCTCGTGGTGATAATTTCATTTTATTTCTTTAGTACCTTCAGCTGTAAGAACATTATCTGATGATACGCTGTGTTGTAAGAGTTTTCTGAAACACCAGATTAAACTGCGAAAAGAGTATTGAAATTTCATTGTTATTTTCAGACCCAGGACGTCTTAACCCAGACAGTAGAACTCAGAATTATGATAACATAAGATATATCAGCTAAATTAAATAACATAATTAACAAGATACTTCATGTACTATTAATTTTTTTAAACATTGTAAAATCATTCTAGATATTGACACTAATTCAAATATGCAAAATAATCCTTACTTTATAAACTTCAGTTGTAAAATAAAACTAGTTTTAGACAAATCATACAACTATTTATTTCAAAATATAACAAGTAAGTTGATACTTCCACATTAAATTCAGCCCTTTTTTTTCAGTGGCGTTTCTGTGAATCACTAATTGTCAAGGGGCCATAAAATTGTCAAGGGGGCTCCTTTATAAGAAATTTGAAAGAAGGACCAAAAAGAGAGCAAAGTTAGGTCAGCCTTTCTGTGTGTTTTATACCTGCCCTGTCTTCTGTCATTTCCCCAAGAGAATCGCCAACTTTCAGCATTACTCAGGGATGTAGTATTTTGGACATTTTCTTGAAAAATGTGGTTTTATTTCACTATTTCTGTTCTCCAACTTAAAGTAATAATTAGGTGAGAGGGATTTGACAATAACTTCTGTTGATGTTCAAGAGGACGATTTCTACACCGTTAAAACTGTCCGAAAGAATTTCCTTACATAAATCTGCACAGGGCCTACATATTACATTGTGTGTGAAGTTGAGTTTCAATATTTAATTAGATAAGAAAACTTCCCAAAACCTGAATCAGGACAAAACTATCCAGTATGGCACCAGTATGGCACCATATGTTTGAGTGTTAAACCTGGCGAAATGGGCTAATGGCCCCGCCTGAGTTAGGCTATGAACTTTCAGTCATCATACTAGAATAGCAAATAACAATAAGGAGGTCACATATTAACACATAAATTATGTCTTCGTGATCTCATTGTGTTCAGTGGTGATATATTAACATATACGTGACCTTATTGTGTTCAGTGGTGAAATATTAACCTATACGCAACCTCATTGTGTTCAGTGGTGACATATTAACATATACGTGATCTCATTGTGTTTAGTGGTGATATATTACCGTATACGCGACCTCATCGTGTTCATTCGTTACATATTAACATATACATGACCTCATTGTGTTCATTCGTTACATATTAACATATACCTGACCTCACTGTGTTCATTCGTTACATATTAACATATACATGACCTCATTGTGTTCATTCGTTACATATTAACATATACCTGACCTGATTGTGTTCAGTGGTGACATAATAAAAAATATGCGACCTCATTGTGTTCAGTGGAGACAGATTATCATAAAGGTGTACGTGACCTCATTGTGTTCAGGGGTGACATATTAATATATACGTGTACGTGACCTGATTGTGTTCAGTGGCGACATATTAATATATACGTGTACGTGACCTCATTGTGTTCAGTGGCGACATATTAATATATACGTGTACGTGACCTCATTGTGTTCAGTGGCGACATATTAATATATACGTGTACGTGACCTCATTGTGTTCAGTGGCGACATATTAATACATACGTGTACGTGACCTCATTGTGTTCAGGGGTGACATATTAATATATACGTGTACGTGACCTCATTTTGTTCAGGGGTGACATATTAATATATACGTGTACGTGACCTCATTGTGTTCAGGGGTGACATTCATTTGTGAAATTGATTTTATATTCAGTTTGAAAAAGATTGTACAGACTTTGTATGTGTATTTTGTACCCATCGATTTGACCATTCAAATTTTCAGTCTGTGCATACGTCTGTGGTGCTAGCAATTACAGTTTAGAAGTTTAACAGATAAGCATTAATTTGAACTGTTAGCAACATTTTTCAGAATTGAAATCCGGTGGAAGATTAAACTGTTGTCAGTTCCCGGACGTCGATTCTGAAGATACGTGCAATTTTGAAAAGTGATACAGAATGATGAAATTAAGTTTCTACAATATGTATTTTCTTTAATTCTTATCTTTATATGTTTCAGCTCCATGTAAGCATAACGTTTTACTAAAAATTCTACAATTTTAATTTAAGTACGTTCCTCAATATCTTGTTGATCATGGTATTATCATGGAATTGTTTTTGTCTAATCTTTTCTCATGCCGATTATTGTGATAACGTTAATTTCGTTTTCCTAATTAATAGAATACAATTATCAAATGTAGAATGTTAATTTGCTTCAAATAATTTTATGACTCGTAGAACAATTTTGAATGGTAAATATCGGATATGATCGTGAAGAATCTAAGTGTATGCTGGTTGAGATTTGCCCAAAATATCGGAAACCATTTTTTAAGCATGTTTTAGGTCATGTTCAAGTATGATGCTATGACCTAACATTATGATGATGGAGCATTTTGCTTTGTCTCATACAGCCTACTAGAAATTAGAATAGTATGTAGATGACAATTCTGTTGAAATGAAATTTGTTACAGAATGTGAAGCAACCGAGATATGGCGTCTAAAGATAGAAATAAACGAACAAATACTTACGTGTATTTCCTAGTTTGATATATCGTAAACTTTACAACCTTTTCACTTTAAACTGACACGCTTCACGACAGTCCAGGTTCTTTTATACATTGAAGGTCCACTGCTTTAATCAGAATAGTCGCATTGGGTGTCCACTCAAATGTGAAATATGCTTTATATGGTTCACTGCAATATAGTCGCACTGCTTTCCCAATTCAGACGGATTAAAATACCATTGTTAACTTGACCTTGTTGGTTACGGTCGTAAATTATTTTACCTGAAAAAATCAAATAGTAGACTGACACACCTGTGACACTGTCATTTAAAGGTTATAGTGAAAGGTAGAGTTATATTATTCATTTAATCATTTTGTATTTTATGTATATCATTCATTTTGTGAGTTGGACATGTAACATAATTCTCGTAATATCGAATATTCGTCAGTTAATCAAGCATACTCTGAATTTTGTTAACATTAATCTGTAAAATAAACTTGACTGAAAGGAAATATCCACTCACGACCTTTCGCGATTGTGGTATATTAAATTTTACCGATTGGTTTTCTGAGAGCTTGAAAATCAGCTTCACAATATCTACCTACAGCCTCTACTATTAAAAGTGTGACAGCATGAAATTGAAAACTATAAGTACATATACATAAATATATGGTAATTTATAATATTCAGCATCAAATGAAAATGACTCCAGGTGAAGCTCTGAAGTACGTACAAATTATGTAATTAATATACTATATAAGGTACGCTATTCACATTTAATATTTGAAGAGTGCACAGGAGAAATGATCAAAGTCACATTTCGGAAAAATTCTAGTTGCAAATCTCAAGTTGGAGTAGTTAAAACGATTTGTGTCCTGTTTGGGAGCCATGGAAGAAACAGAAGTCATTAGACCCTTATGACTGACTTGCAGCTGAAACCAACTGGTTAATCAGATTTTTTCAGCTAACCAGTTTCTAACTATATGGATATAGATAACAAAAAAAAAGTGGTTTTTGTTATTAATTTATTTATTGCCAAATGTTAAACTCACTATTAAAAGGAGTCACAAATGTTCATCAAAATGTAATAGTTTTGAATTATCATACATGAAAGTCTATAACTTAACTAGGCTTATGTGATGATAACAAAGTGATGAATATCGACTGACTTAAATCGGTAAGGCAGATTCTGGCTGAAAACAATCGGCGTAATTAAGGCGTCCCAAGGGTCATGTCCAGGTTAAAAAACGATCAATATCTCAAGCTTTCCAGTTAGAATGATCAGTGTCCGGACACGAGTTCTAAATTGATCAGTGATCAGTAATGGTTGCTTCCTATAAACATTAATACAGTATTTGGGCTGTATATATATATATTTCTTTACTTTAGTAAAATCATCCCATTTGCATGTCATCGAATGCAATGACTAAATGTTCATTTCAATATCTGATCAATCGAAAACTTCTTAGATTCAATGTCCATTTAAAACAAGCTTAGCTCTGATTGAAAATTTGTACACAGGATTTAACAACAATTAATGAAAATTAAAAAACGCCAATAGCAATGTTTCTGAAACTGATAGATATGATCCATAAACTGAATGTTGGTTGATCAATGACATGGATCTTGGTAAGGCTGGGCGATATTGGTCAAAAAACGCGATATTGTAGCTGATAATATCGCGATTGTTGTAGCTGTAGCTGTACTGCGCTCTTGGACTTTGATTTGGCCTTGGGTCCCGTTCTAACTTTTGAGTATTCAACGGGTTGCTTCTTTTTCGGGTGCGAAAATAAGTTTGTTTGCAAAAGATTGTCTCTTGTCATCTTCTTTATATCCAAAATAGGCCCATAAATCACTAGTGCCATGTTTTTGCTTTTACCCTAGTAACAAAGGTGTGGAAATAACTAATTGATTTGTTTTTCAATAGAACTAGATCTTATCAATTTTCATTTTAGTTAAAAAATATGCTAGCCGGGTATATTTCTTTCATTGTTACCGAATAATTCGATTTATTTTAAATAATCCATCGAACAGGAATTATTTTTGTTTTAGAACGGCACTGGGTTTTTTATATTAATATAATATGTCATAGGGCTTGCTGATTCGATGCCATCACGGTTAACGGATTCACGGGTCATCAGGTCACAGCATGATATAAAATTTCACATACGAAATATGTCCTAACAAAGCTTGAGACTCTTTTGTCATATATATATTATATTTGGTATAGTGTGTGGAATGGAAAATACAATTTCAATTACAGTACAGATCAATATACAAAGTTAATCGTGTTGGTGCATATACAGAGTAGAATTATCTCTAATTAGTTTTAACTAGTGTATTTAATGTTTAAAATATTTCGCCCTTAAAACAGTGTTTTTGTGATTATTTAAACTAATTTTGGTTGATTTGTCTAAAATTTCGAGATGAGCAGATTCAAAACAATCAATGTTTTCAAAATATTTACATGAAGAAACGGTCCAAGGTCAATAATTTTTAATTGCTAATTACACATCTAAAAAAAAGTATTTCAATTTTGAAAATTTGTGACTGGTAAAATATAAGAATAAAATAAGAGAAAATAATATGTATCGTCTTCCAACATTATCTAAACAAAATATTTGCTAGACTTCCAAACATAATAAATGAATTTTTCTCGAAATCAGAAAAATGTGCCCTCGATTGTTTTGCCCACGTGACAATATATTGACATAGTTCCGGTAAAAAAAATGGCCATTCATTACTGTGATATGTTGCAGAGCGCTAGCGCAACTTTCACGGAGGACGTTTGCTTCATTTATTCTCTATTATTTGTAAGTGTGCGTGAAAAAAGTATTATTATTCGAATCTGAACTCAATTCTCTTTAAATCAGTCAATGAGCTGTGTTCATCACATTTATTATTAGTTTATGTTGGTGAGAAAACTAAGTCGCAAACTTTAAGTGAAGTGTGCTTGACTTTTACCCTTATGTAAACTTGTGATTGTGTTATAACCTTCAATTAGGGTGTATATTATTACCTGTAACCTTCAACTACTTTTTAAAAGTCTGTCATGCGTCTCGAGGTGAATATGGCATGGTAAATAGTCGTAAAGACGAGAAAATATTTCAAGGTCTCTGTAGGCTTATCTACAAGCTTTTTAATTTTTTACAAAGCCACTGTAAATGAATCAATCTCTGCTTAACTGAAGAAGGTTTTGTTGTGGTTTAATTCTTACTTGCTGGGGCCCAGACCAGACTCCAACGGGGTCAAATCAAATATGCACTTCACGCACAGAAAACATATCCAACTTCAGACCATCAATGTAAACACCTTGTTATGTTTATTTATTACAAACTAGAGATTGATCGGCAAGGAGTGAAAATTATGAAAATTTTCTACGCCATTTTCTTGAAAGCTGCCAACAATTCGATTGGCTGTTAAATTGTCATGATCCAGGTCATGAACTTTCAAAGCGATTGTCATCCAGTAACTTGATGTGTTAGACACTGTGACCCTGTACGTTAGTCTACATAAAATCCATTTCATTGAATGTACATAGGGTAGTTTCGTGGTCTCTCTTTCATCGTGACTAGATGGGATCATATACCAAAATATGAGTCGAAAGTTGCAAAAAAGCATTAGGCATTCAAAGATGAAACATGACCTGTCCAGATCAATTACCAGAAAGCATAATATTCTAAATGTTGATTTAATATATAAAATAAACTTGACTGAAAGGAAAAATCGAATCACGATTTCGATATTGGCCCGTATGCAGCAAATGAAATTAAGCCTAATATTATTCTATTCTGCCCGTCATAGCATTATCTTAAATCTATTTAAGCATTTACTAATTTAATCGGTAGGTTCGTTTTGCCGCATTGCCCAACTTGCCGCATCGTACCAAACTGCACAAAAACGACTTGTAAAACGAAACTAAAGGTTTCTGATAAAATCCGGAATGGCCATTTGTTTCACATACGAAATATTTTACTATGGTGTCCCGCATCGATTTTTATACGCCCACATCTCTCTATGTGGACGTATATTGTCGGCACCCCTGTCCGTCCGTCTGTCCGTCCGTCAACATTTGCTTGTAAACGCTCAAAAAACTAGAATTTTTGATGGAATCAAATGAAATTCGTTATGTGTATACATATTCATACAACGAAGATCAAGTTCGAATTTGAGCTATTTTCGACCGTTAGAAGCAGAGTTATTGCCCTTTCCTCAAAATCTTGAATATTTGCCATCCGCATGCCGTGGTGGGCGTATATGGCTGTGGTCCACTAGCTAATTTTTCTTTTTTCTAAACAATCGCAGGTTCGTCGATTTTTGTAGTTAGTATTGTGGAGCCAATCAACCCCAGCTTCTACCTTGTCCACCAGGACATTCTGAGACTTACGAGGAACCAGTGGGGGTTGAGCCACTGCCGAATTATAGAGCACATCGAATACGAGAATTTTAAACTTCTCCTCGCTTGATAATTCTGATTTACTACTCAGAAGATTTTCACTTTCAGACATTTCAGTTGCCATTTTTTCTAACACGAGGGTGACGTTATTGGCACGCAGTAGTGGGACATAACTCTTGCAAGTTATTACCAAATTTATTTATTGCACTTGTCTTGTTTCGTTTTATGGATTTATGTATTTTGTATTACGGTTCTGATCGTTTGTACTTGGTATTTATCTATTCCAGATTTTACCATAAAACTATAGTTTAGATTTCCCTAACAGGTCCAAATTATACATAATAAAAAAAAAAAAGGGAATCAACAGATTAAAATATTTCGTTTCATGTAAAAAATGGCCATTCCGGATTTTATCAGAAACCTTAAGTTTCGTTTTACATGTCGTTTTTGTGCAGTTGGGCACGATGCGGCAAGTTGGGCAATGCGGCAAAACGAACCCACCGTAATTCAATGCTTAACCTAAACTTACAATCGACCAACTTTTTATTCTATTTGTAAATCAGAAGAAATTCTCTTTGTCGCTTCTAAGGGTTCCCAAATAGACAAATTTATTGAGGATTTGGATGAATTTGAAGACATTACACTAATATAAAATAAGGACCCTTTACATGTCTTGGTAACCAAACTTTTAGTCTCTCTTGTGCTACATAAATGTGATATTGGCCCGTAATCACCAAGTAAAATCATATTAAGAAGATTATAATTATTTTAAAACTTAAATACATTTAGTTAAATGTAATTAAAGGTAATTCTGCACCATTTAGAAATTAACTAAATATATTTATGTGTAATGTAATTGAAACCTTATTTTCCATTCTAACCACAAATTATACAAAATCTATATATGACAAAAGAGTCTAAAAGCTTGGTCACCAGGACAGATTTCATTTTTCAAATTTTCCTTACTGTCGTCGTATTCATGGTGGATTTGCCTAGTTCGAAACACTATGAATACTATTCTCGCGTCTTAGAATTATTGTGAACGTTATCAGCAAGAGTAAAATTTCTTCTCTCCGATGGAACAAATAAATGCCTGAATAAGTGTTTTATAAAATCCATATCTTTGTAACATGCATTTGCCTTGATAAAAAAATTCCTCCTCCTAAAAAAGCGTGTAAAGGAAAGGCGATTGAAATGTCTTTTCATAGAAGAATGTCATCAAAATCATTTAATTCGTTTAAAATTTTGAAACCCTTAAAGATGGGTTTCCTCATTTTTTAGTGTCAAATTAAGCAAACTTTTTGATGAATTGGTGTTTCTAATGAATTATCATGTATTCTTAATCATATCATTTTGTTCTTATTGCATATAACTAAAGAGTTTAACCAATCATAAATGTCCATATATTATGTACAGTCTGGATAAACAAAAAAGACTTTTTGACCTTTCTTGATCGGGTCACTCATTGGAATTCTGGTGGTAATTCTATCCTAATTTAGCTCATTATGAATTAGTTATGTGAGACAAACTGATATTTTTGCAAGTCATTAGAACACATCTACTTTCTATTCATTTAAGTATTAGCATTTTCATTTTAATAAATGAAAATAGGGGAGCCCATCTTTAAAAGAGAATAAAGGAATTTCTTCCGATTTCCAAATATTTAAAAGTAATTAAAAGTTAAAGTTGGTCGAGAGTAACTTTAAGTTTAGCATTAAATAAGTCAATTTTTAAATAGGTTAAAGATAATTCTATGTGGTACATACGAAATTATAAAATTTAATTTAAAGTTAAAGTTCGTTCGTATCGGAAAATAAGAGTTCAATTACGGTACATATAAACATATTATTTAGTTAATTCTAGAATGGTGCATGCAAAAAAAAGGAACATCTTAAATTACATTTAACTATATAACTTCACCTGAAGCTCTGAAGTAAGCTTAATATTGTGTAATTAATATTTCATATAAGATACGCTATTCACATTAAACATTAATATCATTCCCATTGTTTGTAAGTCTGCATGTAAAAGCTATAATTGTTCAAATCTGAACTCATTTTACTAGAAATCAGTCAGTGAGCAGTGTTCATTGCATTTACTATTAGGTTTTGTGGATAACATGTAAGGTGGCTTGAGTCACCGTAGTAAGTGAAGTATGCCTGACTTTTACCCTTACGTAAGTAAATCATTTATAGGATGTTAAAGCTGTCTGGGAAGTGATTATGAATACCTTGAATTAGGGTAATATTATTTAATGATTGAATATAGACTAACAACCATCCCAGCGGTAAATGAATGAAATTTTTTACACGAGTCCACTGTAACACGTGACAATAAAATGTATAAATATTACCTGTAACCTTCAACTACTTTTTAAAAGTCTGTCATGCGTCTCGGGGTCAATGACATGGTAAATAGTCGTAAAGACAAGAAAATATTTCAAGGTCTCTGTACTACAAACTGTGTTACGCCAAAGATACCATCAAGTTGTCACGACAAAAAACCCAATTCATTGAATGTCCATTCATTGTCACTACATGCGATCTAGGCCGAAACATCTGTCTCTATTTCAGCCTCCATAGCTATTTGGACAGATGTATCCATCTGAGGCCGGAATAGAGGTAGATGTTTCGGACTAGATGGTATCACACATCGACAAATATAGTTGCAAAGAAGCATTCAAAGATGAAACATGACCTTCCCATCATCAGTTACCTGATATAATAAGTTTTAGCATCTAGCAGTTTTACATAATATATTTATTTCACATACTTTATAGGATAATGTCGTTTAATTATTTGCATTAGGCATATTAGCTAAAAGCAGTTTCATTTTCAGCTACCCATAGATTTTTAGAATTCAAATTAGGCCTGTATACATTATAATTATTCTTCTGGACCACTGACGCGATGAATTGGATAGCTGAATTCAAAACCCTATAAATATATTTGGTTTGGCTTAAATTAGGCTGCCTTGGAAAGCAAAAATTTAAATGTCTACCGTATAGCTTTTTCTTGCGCATCAGTTGTCTTGGTTGTTTTATTCCACATTATTATCCTATTTATGACACGTATAAGTCCTATATTTGGTACTTTTTCAGATAAACTTTATCTTCATACTTTATCTGCTCAAGAAATCTGCTTAAAAATTCTACACAACCAAGTTAAGGATGTCTTCAGATAACTGTACATTTATCAAAGGTATGACCTTTTCTTTTCTTTTTTTTTTGGAACATATTACTTACCCTGAGTCGTGTTTAAGGCAAAAAGGATTCAACAATTTTTTGCCCTAACATGTGATCAAAACGAATCCAATGTGAGGTCATACCCGACCCCAACAAAATCGAACAGTATTCTCAAAAATAGCCCCAAAAAGTCAAATTGTGTCAATAGTGTTCCATCGTTATTAATGAATTTATTTTTTCAGCCGGAGCATCAAAAGAAAAAAATTCTCAACATTCGCATGGTCATAGCCACGAACACGAACATGAACATGGTCATTCTCATGAAATATTAGACAGTCCTGGAAGCTATCTGGATCGTGATCGTCCCTTGTATAGAACAGACTGGAATGAGGTACGTCTATTTTGTGAGGACCCGATAACGATGTGCGCTGGAAATACAATATTGATGGCATTTTACTATTGATGCATAAGAAGTCTCTGTAATGTGCCTAATAGCAGACAGTGAAACGATAGCACTGATCCACCATTACCATTTACCTCAAATGTAGTCTTAAGAATAGGATTGATGTTAGAGAAGTAACTTTGTATGGAAAAGTCATAAATGTTTATGTTTGGATCTAACTTTGACCATAAAACCTAAGTTTATTATCCGATCGAATCTTACTTTCAGAGAGCTTTTACAATTGGCATTGGTGGTCCAGTCGGCTCTGGTAAGACAGCTCTAGTATTAGGATTATGTCAGTATTTACGGGAGACCCGTGGTGTTTGTGTTGTAACAAATGATATTTTTACAAGGTTAGTAGGCCACTAATTATTTTTGGGTGGATTTTCATTGTTAAGTGTTAAAGCATAATGATGGAACTAGGGTTTTAAGAAATGTATGGTGATTCAGATTATAAAATAATTTGGCACACCAGTTGTGATCTCTGAAACCCAATTGTCAAGGTCAATGATGATGTGTATATTACAAGATAGGCAGTCGGTGTTCCTATTTTCAAATGGTGGAATTATATTACAGAGAAGACTGGGAGTTTCTAGTGAGAAATAAAGCCCTACCAGAAGAGAGAATGAAAGCTGTTGAAACTGGTGGTTGTCCTCATGCAGCAATCAGGGAGGTACGTCATCTGGTCATCTATAAATAGTAAATGTCATCTTTAAATCGCAACGTCCAGTGCTAGTGACAGTCAAAATCACAGATCAATAAATTTCGCATTGCACACGTTAATACTTTAAAACCAAAATCTAAGGTCGTGCGTGAAGGATTTAATAATAAAAAGGTATATACCGTGTAAATACATGTATTGTGTTGAAGTGCTATTGTATATGTTGCTGAACTGAATTGCACACCAGAAAAACCAAAAACTTGGTCGAACCTCATAAGAATCATCCAAAGATTTGCGCGTATAGGCTGAGATTGTCAAATCAAAAACGTCCGGCATCTCAGTGAATACGCTTTTATCTTCCAGGATTATTCATTGAATATGGAAGAAGTAAAAGTTTTAACCTCAAAATTCAAACCAGAAATAGTATTTATAGAATCGGGTGGTGATAATTTGGCTGCTAATTTTAGCCGTGAACTAGCTGATTATATCATCTATGTTATTGACGTATCTGGTGAGTTGAACAAACTATAAAATTGAATCAAAATAATCGCGTATTGCTTGAATACATCTTTATCTACCACAAACAGAAACAGATTGTATCCATCTGTAGCACGCTCAGAAGATCCGGACACATATACTATAAGGATCACTATATATCCATTCTCAGCAAAACAGAATACCCTAGCTGTTATAAGCATATGTATTATTGGCTGTTACAAGCCTGAGGGTAGCATGGGGGAATACGTACACACGAAAATTATATTGAATGATACGTACAGCTTCGATCTTACTAAATAAAATTGCCATTGTACATTATATAGGTTAATGTCTCTCTTAACTGAATTGAATATGCAAGGGCATCTGTCAACGCCTTAAGTGCGTCTCGCCCTAATGATATCAAGAGAACGACATACCCTACAGCCTCCACTTTTTTTTGAAAAAAAAGATCAGCAGAAAATTTAATGTTCATGACTCAACATTTCACTCTGTTTTCCTTCTGTCAACGCCCACAGTGCGTCTCGCTCCGATAATAAGAGGGCGGTCGACATACCACAACTCTAACAATTTTCTAAAGGACGGAAACCAGATATAAATATTGGTTTTTTTTTAATTACGACATACACTGATACAAACCTTTTATTATCTGTAAGAATTGCAGTAGGCTACAAACACGGTTGGGGATTATGTGATTAACGAGGATAGATAAAAACGCTATCTGGTTACTAACCATAGAGTTATTCCGAGGAGGCATCTTGTCCTTCCAAAGTAATCCCCAATGTTACCATCTAAGGCTACAATCAGTGATATATAAACGCAATAATTGCAATAAACGCCTGAGATTTTCTGAAATTTGAGACAGAGCAGTCGACAGATGTACATTGTGAAATGCAATATTCACAGCTCATCGAGCTCTTAACTGATGGTATATTAAAACGACTATTGGCAAGTCCCTTAACTACAAAAGGTTTATAGTAGTTCCCTGCAGCCCCATTCCATATAACAGGTTACAATTATCATTTCATAATTTATACGAATTTAAGGCGGTGATAAGATACCTCGTAAAGGTGGACCTGGTATAACACAGAGTGATTTATTGGTTATCAATAAAACAGATTTAGCTGAAGCAGTGGGAGCTGATTTGAAGGTGAATCATTTCATTCTTAGCTCCATTTCATCTATTGTGAAATATTATTATGCGTTTTTCAATAATTACCCGTGGTTTACTGATACTTACTTAGTTTTATTGATTTATCAGATTGTAAATGGATTATCAGGTATGTCAACTAATAAGTTCTTATTTTAGCCGAGATGTCGAGAGGCAGAATTCCTTTAATACGAGGCTTACTTACAGGCGTAAATAACTTAAAAACCATCTGTATTTTCAGGTCATGGAAAGAGATGCAGCATTAATGAGACAGAAAGGACCTACAATATTTGCTCAAGCTAAACATAATGTTGGTATCAAAGAGATAGCAGCTAGTATTCTTTTATCATATGAACATCAGACACAGTTTTCATAATGACTTCAATATTGATCAAATTTTCAATTTACTTATTATTATTTTGATGCCATGTGTGCTAAAATACTTCTTTTAAAATGTCCAAGATGTCTATAAATATGTAATATGGCAGAATAGAGTCCGGTCATACATTTACTTGAACTGAACTATTATTACAATGTTTTTAAATTCATTCATTCTCTTATTTTATATTAAATATTCCTAACAATGCGTAGTTATCATTTGAAGGCGATTTGGATTTCCTAATTATTATATCAGCTTTTTAAAAAAGTCTACAGCATTAACACCCTTACAAATTGAGTTGGAACAAAATTAAATAGTATAAAGTATTTAATGTCATCATTCAGCAACTTTTGGCAGTTTCTGAGAATCTGAATAAATGGAACGTATGATTGTGTCGTCTTGGCTTGAGCCATTATATTATACGCCCACATCTCTTTATGTGGACGTATATTGTCGGCACCCCTGTCCGTCCGTCCGTCCGTCAACATTTGCTTGTAAAAACTAGATTTTTTGATGGAATCAAATGAAATTCGGTATATGTGTACATATTCATAAAACGAAGATCAAGTTCGAATTTGAGCTATTTTCCACCATTAGAAGCACAGTTATTGCCCTTGCCCCAAAATCTTGAATATGCTATTACTCTTAGTTTTCAACCGATTTTGATGGAACTTAAAATGGATGTTATTGGACCTAAGTCGAGAGGTTTGAGAAAGTTTATTTTACTTCTGATTAAATTTAAGGATTTGTCAAGATTTATGCCTCTCACGTCAGTTTTGAGGAGCTATCGCCCTTTCACCTCTATACAGTAAGTACTTTTATCAACATCATTTTCTTGTAAACGCTCTAAAATCTAGATTTTTTGATGTAATCAAATGAAATTCGGTATGTGTAGACATATTCATGAAACAACATCAAGTCCGAATTTGAAGCAGAGTTATTGCCCTTGCCCCAAAATCTTGAATATTTATTATCTGCATGCCGTGGTGGGCATATATGGCTGTGGTCCACTATCTTATTGTTGTTGTAACAATGACTTATCAAGTAATTGTTATTTTAAAAGAAGTCTGTCGTTTTTAAGTAATTGGGGATAAATTGTACAAAACTTTGACAATGATCCGTATGCAATGAATAGTTCTCATGAGGAGGAATCTAATTCTTGATATTTCTATCACCACTTACTAATTAAAGTTTTATGTCACAATATTATTCTATTTAATACAGTTTATGATATATTTCCTTGTTTCCAGAAATAATCACAATTTCTTTTCCATATTTCACAAGTGAACATGTTTATTGATTATAAATTAGTCACAATACAGTTTATGAATCACTCTGTTTCTTGTACAATTAACTTGTGGTACACAATTTAACAGCTAAATGTGATATCACAATGATATTTAAAAATTATCACACTGTATCTGGATGGTCATGGATTTTGGTTTCTAAAAACAGAATGGATCACCATGGTTTAGATAAAGGGTGTTCAGGAACATAACCCTTAGCTTTATATATATCATCAGCTACTTCACCATAGGTTCTATCTAGATTTACTGAAATATATAGAAAAATCATATATACAAAACTTTATATTGGATTTGATCTTTATTAAATTTTGAAGTGAATTATTTCCCCTGATCATTTATATCATTGGAAATTTGATATAGTCTATATTAAATTAAGTGAAGTATTCAGCAGTGCCACTTCAGCTACAATATTTGCAAGAAGCATTATAATAATAAATATTTACCCCCATCTATCTCATCAGCATTCTGATTAATTCTTTTATATGCTTCAATACAAAATGCTTGAGTTAATTTGATCTACAAAATAACAGATTATACTATACACCTATCTGTGATATGACAGATGCTAAAAAACACCATGGTCAGGATATTTTGAGATGATACAAAATTGATTAAATCATACAACCTTCCCAATCTTTAGCAAGTTAAAAATACAATAGATAAATTAATAAATAAAATCATAAAGGTATTGTGAATCCAAATAATATATTCAAAATATATTTCTCAAGGAACCATGGCATTTCAAACACTGGTAATCCAATGTTTCATATCATCCACTGGAAACCAGGGAATATTGGCTTTTTTAAAGATAAATTAAGTATAGTCAGGTTGGTCACACACTCATAGAAATGAATCTATCCTTTTTTATACTTACCTCATGTTCAAAATTCCGATGTCCTAAACTAATAGATCTAGTAGTTCTCGATAAACAGGCTGTCATAGCAAATATATCTATAGCTATATCTGATAGCCTTCTTAATATCATTTGTTCATGTAAAATATCCTATAATAATAATATCCTGCTTCAACAACAATTTACTACAATAATAACAACATCCTGCATTAGTGAGAATATCCTGAATTAATAATAATATCCTACAATAATAATATTCGGCAATAATAATAATAAAATCCTGCAGTAATAATAATATTCTGCAATGATAACAATACCCTGCAATAATAACATTGTATCCGACAATAAAACAGTATCCTACAATAATAACAATATCCTACATTAATAACAATATCCTACATCAATAATAATATCCTGCAATAATAACAACATCCTGCATTAGTGAGAATATCCTGAATTAATAATAATATCCTACAATAATAATATTCGGCAATAATAATAATAAAATCCTGCAGTAATAATAATATCCTGCAATGATAACAATACCCTGCAATAATAACATTGTTTCCGACATTAAGCAGTATTCTACAATAAAAACAATATCCTACATTAATAATAATATCCTGCAATAATAACAACATCCTGCATTAGTGAGAATATCCTTAATTAATAATAATATCCTGCAGTAATAATATCCTGTAATAATAACATTGTTTCCGACATTAAACAGTATTCTACAATAAAAACAATATCCTACATTAATAATAATATCCTGCAATAATAACAACATCCTGCATTAGTGAGAATATCCTTAATTAATAATAATATCCTACAATAATAATATTATGCAATAATAATAATAAAATCCTGCAGTAATAATAATATTCTGCAATGATAACAATACCCTGCAATAATAACATTGTATCCGACAATAAAACAGTATCCTACATTAATAAGAATATCCTACATTAATAATAATATGCAATAATAATAATAAAATCCTGCAATAATAACAACATCCTGCATTAGTGAGAATATCCTTAATTAATAATAATATCCTACATTAATAATATTATGCAATAATAATAATAAAATCCTGCAGTAATAATAATATTCTGCAATGATAACAATACCCTGCAATAATAACATTGTTTCCGTCATAAAACAGTATCCTACAATAATAACATTATCCTGCATTAATAATAATATCCTGCAATAATAACAACATCCTGCATTAGTGAGAATATCCTTAATTAATAATAATATTCTGCAATAATAATAATAAAATCCTGCAGTAATAATAATATCCTGAAATAATAACAACATCTTGCAAAAATAATAATAATATCTACAATAATAACAATTTTCTGCAATAATAACAATACCCTGCAAAACTAATGACAACAATACCCTGCAATAATAATAATACCCTGAAATAATAACAATACCCGGCAATATAAATAACAATACCCTGCAATAATAACAATGACCTACAGTAATAACAATACCCTGCAGTAATAACAATACAGTCAAATAATAATAATACCCTGAAATAATAATAATATCCTACAGTAATAACAATACCCTGCAGTAATAACAATACTATCAAATAATAATAATACCCTGAAATAATAATAATATCCTACAGTAATAACAATATCCTATAATAATTTCAGTATCCTGAATTAATATTAAAAACGATATCTTGCAATAATAACAATTCCTTCCAATTATAACAATTCTTGCAATAATAACAATATCCTACTTTGCTAAGTACTATTAAATAGTATGGTTCACCTTCAACATGGGTATCATCAGGTTCCTAATTAGCTTCCTATACTTGTCCGCTTTGGGTTTAACTAAGGCAAGGTTGATGACAATTTCATCATTTGACTCATTTTAGCTCAGAAGTTCCGAAAAATTCCACCATCTTGTGCTCTTTCTATTCATAGACAAGTATAAAACTCTACTTTCTAAGCTATATTTTGTCCAAGAATAGTCATGAATTAGATTCATGCGACAATCTTAACACTTACATTTCCATATCGCTCTAAAACAATTTCTACTGTACTCTTTAATAAGTATACAGACTTCTCTAGCTTCTCTGAATAAGGCTGGAAACAGAAAACAATATTGATAATATATTGGGAGGGCTGTTGCTCAATAGATTACATTACAGTGTTGTGACATATTTAGCTGTTGGCACATGGATAAGTTTAGATAAAAGTTCAAATATTAACATCAATTGAAGCATAAATAAATCAGCATTACATTATTAGTTATGCAGGCTTCTCCCTTAGGAAGCAATACTGGCATTTCAAATCAAAGAGTCGCATCAAGCTTGAATATTTCAATTCATCTCTATGCTAAATATTGTGAATAAAGAAAAGGGAATGGATTGAATCCCAACAATCTTCTTGAAATTACATTTCCAAAATATTTTTGAAAGTCAAGTAATCAATAGTTAATTCTTCAAAATTATGAAGAAATTTAGAATCAGCTAAGACATGACTTACCCACAATAATTGATGTACATTATTACCTAAGTATAATAATTGTGCTTTATCAGATAGACCTCTACCTTGTAGTTTACTTATAGCAGTAGTTAAAACAAACTTGGGGTTTTGTAGTGGGTTCCGTAATTTCCTAAAAGTAACAACAATTATATAATCATACCAAAAATTTTCTTAAAACAACATTGGTAACATTTTTCTTCAAACTACATGTATTTATTCTATCAATTCCAACAACTATACTGTAATGCAACTGCCTACGCTCATCACACACACCAACAGAAACATGTCACATTTCATTTACTGTATATAATTGTTAAAAGGTGGAAAGTGTATAATGCAAATATATCTACATACATACATAATCATTTCCTTCATTTCTCTACCAGCAAATTTTATACTTTCTAAAGATATTAATAATCTTAAAATCTCATTAGTACCCTGGAAAATATACAGGTATACAAAAGTATATTCAAGAAGATAAAAAAGCAAATCAGACTTACTGGTCTTGACGTGACTAGTTTGACTGATTCTATTTCATTAATATTGTAGGTCCTTTGTAAGCACTGATCCTTATTTGTCTTAAGTAACAGATATATCTATCTGATAACAAGGGTTGAATATCACCACTGACTTGGACCCATGCCAGTATACTTTATCATCATACCTCAAATATTGACAGTATTCTAGCATCCCTTAACATTCTTTCATAGGGATAATCTTTCATATATCCCATACCACCAACTATCTGTAGACATTCATTAACACACTGCCATGTAGCTTCCGAACTAAAAACCTGACGATGAATGACAATATTCTTGTTATATATGAGGAATTTTATTACACTGATCTTTAATAACCTATTTAATAGCTGTTTTGATTAATGAGAATAAATTATGACATCTTGGATTAGAATTACACAGATGATTACCATGTATGACAGTTGTAGTAAGAAAAAACCATAAAGCATGTATTTTGATCAGATTGCAGCCACAATTCTGTTGTTTATCAAATATTACTGACCTTAACAATAGCAGCTTCTAATGAAACATCTGGTTCTTCATATAGATCTATAAATCCTGCTGTTAAATACGCCATACTTTCCATAACATATATCTGTGTGGCTATTTTGCCAAATTTCTCCTATAATTAAACACGGTTTTCAAAATAAGCTGTTGTCACAGAATATGATTTGAAATGAAATAAAAATGGAGTTTTACATCTTAAAATGAAGATGAGAAATGCAATGCAGTGTGCAATAAAGGAATTTTTGCCAGAACGTAAGAATTTCACTTTTTCAATTGTAACGGTTGAGATCTTTAAATGTGCACTGCCTGAAAAAGCAGGAACTTAGTTTATGGTCCCATCTAAACAACTAAATACTTCTTCAAAGACGGCATCATTGACATTAGAAAAGCATTATACCCCTCATTTTGAAATGATAGAAATGTGCAAAGTATAAAATTCAACCCTGTATGAGGATTGGGAGGGTTCAATAAGGTAAAAGGGAGCTGGCTATATGATTAGCATACCAAAGACCTACCTTAATCATACCAAAATGAGCTATTGGTTGATGAAATTGTTTTCGTGATGTAGCATGTTCAGTTGTCATACCTAAAACAGATATAAAGGCATCTTATAATCTAAATACGTGCTCTTTCAAGAAAAAAGAAAAATAAACCTTTTTGAAGCCATTTTTGACAGTCTGAATTATATATTTTCTATTCTATGGATATGTTTAAGTAGGTTTATTCACAGAAAATATTGGTAGAATAGATCAGTAACTATATTAACTATTTTAATGGAATAGTTAATATTTTCCAATCAGAGAGGACATAGTATATAAGAGAAAGTTTTTTTAGTATAGGTAAATAACCTAATCTTTCTTCTGCTAAAAGTGGGCATCATTTACCAGCCAACCAACCAACTGGAAAATAATATGTAGCCTACCTAGTAATTTCTTTAATGCTCCAGCTGAGGAACTTCCCATACTAAATCTTCCACTATTTAAAACATTCATAGCTATCTATATATTACAAATACATTGATTAAAAAATACTGATTATTTCAACCCATTGGACATGGTATGTTAGAAAACAAAGTCCCATACCCAGAATTCCAAGTAATATTAACTTGAAGGGTACAACATTAACGTCACATATCACTTGTTAAAAGCTGCAACGAAAAGCTACTCAGGATATATCCCTAGTATTAAAAGGGATAAGCAACACTTAATTTTGTGGTACATTAATATTTGAATTGAATTTAGGCCGTGGTTAAATTGTTATCTGTGATCTATGATGGTATGGTATAGAAGTAGTTAAGACTTTCCAAAATCCTGTACATCTTGTTTTTTTGATTTAACCAGAGCTCATCTTAGATGCTGATATCTGTTTTGAATATGAAATCGCCTCATAACATGAAAACTGGGTCTACAAAATAATTTCCTATTACTACTGAGAAACAATTAAAAGAACTTTACCTTAAAACCCTTACCAACTTCACCAATAACATTTTCTACAGGAATTGGTGTATCTTCAAAATGTACTTCACATGCTGTAGAAGAGATGGAATTATAACAATTACTATGCTCTTTTCTATTTCTTCTGATAAAAACTCAAACTACACATTGTAATTTTCAAAAATATATCTGACATGAAATCATGAGTTTGGTCAAAAAATAACCCAGTCAATTTGCAATCTTTTTTTTTCTCTTTATGGTAATTCACAAGATGCATAATAAGAACTTTAGTAGTTATATTAAATGTGAGATTTCATTCATAAAATGTTATTTTAATGTCTCATTTCATAATTTCAGACAATCATTGAAACACCCTGTACATCAAAAGAATTTCACATAAATTTTAGCCTAATGATTACAGTGTGATGATACAAATCTAAACTTACTATTAGATCCTCTAATGCCTAGTTTATCTTCAGGTCTACCACTAGTTACTCCCCCAAACTCTCTTTCTACTATAAATGCTGTAATTTTATCTTCTTTTTCTCCCTACCATAAAATATCCAGACTTACATAGACAAAATGTGTACTTAATATATTAGGAGACACTGGGCCTTATTTTGAAACAAGTATTTTGGTACATATTAAATGCATTAACACAATGTACTGTAATAATGGCTTCACATTTAAGATTATCAGACTCCTTTAATAAATATGCTGAAATACCTTGTTTTGTTTACCTTATCATTAATGATTTCAGTTTTGGCGAACACGGTAAAAAGATCAGCAATTCCACCATTTGAGATCCAAATTTTACTTCCATTTAAAAAATAAAGTTGGCCATCTTCAGATAGTGTAGCTTTAGTTCTAATAGAAGCTGCATCACTTCCACTACAGAAATAAAACACGTGATAATATCAATAGACATATTTCATAGGCTGCTTTTAAAGACATAACAACATAGGCTTGCGGCAAGTCTCACAAGCAAATACGCCCACCAGCAGCTTGATAAAGAGCTAAATGTGAACTGTAAAACAAATTCTATATCGTAGCTAAAAAACGCGATATCAGAGTTTTATGCGATATCTCTAAATCATCGGATCGTCACCAAATTCAATAGTGCACATCTTCATAATGATATTGACACACATACAAAAGATCAAAGAATCAATATAGAATTGTAGTCTGTAGAGTGAGCACAAGCCAAAAAAGTGAAAAAAAAAAACAAATGCGATATCAGAGTTTTATGCAATATTTCTCAAGCAAATCATCAGATCATCACCAAATTCAATAGTGCACATCTTCATAATGAATCAATATAGAATTGTAGTCTGTAGAGTGAGCACGAGATAAATGTGAATACCTATTCATATTACAATACCGAGCAAAAGAAAATATCAAACATAAAGGAATATGTTAGGTTTATAATGATTAATTTACAAATTGAGATCATGAATGTCATGAATTAGAACGAAAATGAATTGTCTAAATTGTCCACAATACACAATTATACCTTTGTTTTTGGGGTATAGTCAAGTGAAAATGGTTAAAACGATTTTTTGCCTGGTAGTTCTAAAAGCAAATTATTCCTGAAGTCAAAAAACAATCTCTTACTCTTTCTAACATCAATACCTTATCTGATACAAGGTGATTCTTCTAAATATATCAATATTTAGCTCAAGAACACACTAAAACACCATTCTCAAATATTTAACAAAATAAAATGTCATGAAGCAAAGTGTCCTTTTAAAAGAAATAAACCAAACAGAACCAATTTCACAAAGAAATATCTAACCTGGATGGCTCAGTCAGACAGAAAGCAGCTACCAATTCACCAGTAGCTAATTTGGGTAAATATTTCTGTTTTTGGGCTTCATTTCCAGCTTGTAAGATTGCCTGAAATTTATAATCAATTAGGTAAGAGTGGATGTAACAACAACATATAATTGAAGTTACGAAAGCACAGGCCTAGGGTTAAGTTTAGGGTTAATGGTGTCATAAGCAGTCAACGAAATGTGATGAAACCATACTGCTGAGACAACTTGCACACAAGACGAATGACTGAGCTATTGAGCATCTTGTGCGTTAGACTTTTTGATTTTCTTTATAAATAGACTAGAAAATATAACACATAGCATCAATGTTCAAAGTGTTAAAAAAAAATCTACCTTTAATCCTATAGTTTGATGACCAGCTAATGTAACAGATATAGCTCCATCTCTACCAGTTACTTCAGCTAGTCTGGCATATTTAGTAGCATCTAATCCTAGACCACCTGCAAGATATAGTAGTAACAAAAATCAAATGCAAACCGTAAATGTCAAAGATTAAAAGCAAACCAAATCAATGAGGTAGAAACAGCTGTCTTGGATCATTGAAAATAGACAATAACGACTAAGTAAATTGTAAGCAGAGAGAGCTATTCCCAACTGTAAAATTCAGTATAAGCGTATATATTTGACAAACCTAAACAAAATGAAAGTAGAATGGATACTTTAAGAATCAATTGCAAAATCAAAAAGGTAAACTTTTCATATAAGAAAGTCTAGATTTTGGTTGTAATAACAAAAATACTCAATAAGAAGTCAAACATTCTAAATATTATATCTTTTACCATATTCAACAGGAATCTGTTGACCAAACATTCCTATCTCTTTTAATACTTCTAGAACTTTGTCTGGTATTTTGGCATTTTCATCAATTGCTTTGGAATCCACTAAATAAAGAGAATAAAAGATAGCTTGCCAGGCAAGGTAACACACGCCCACTGGCAGCTGTCAGAAATGATAAAGTATGAATTTTCTCATCTTAAAGAAATTCTAATAGTTTGAATTCATTGATATATATATTTACTGTCAGTTATTTATGCTGAGAAATTCCAATAATCCAAATACATCAAATTATCTCATCAATATACATGATCACACCATGTTTCATTAAAATCAATTGAAAACTGTAGTCTCTATTGTGTTCACAAGAAATGTTGACAGACCAACGGGCCAACGGACAGGGGCAATATACGTCAACATTTTCATGTCTATGTCTTTTCGTGTACAATGTTTAATCTATAAATAAGTCGAGAAAAACATGTTGTATAGATACTTGGTGGTATAATTAACTTCTCTTAGTATTTATCTTTAATATCAATTCATTATAACTAGTGACAATTCCTTCAAAGAACAATGATTTCCAAAAAGATAGAGACTGACAAAGTAAGATAACTAAAACGTAATAGTGATTTATTGTGTCACGTGACCTCGTGCACTGAAATATATTCTAGCAGATGACACTTGGAAATCCAATCAGAGCTTGGGATTATAAGGAATTTTGGCCGATAAAAAATTGTTATATTTGGTAATAACTGAAATCCGCCATTTGTATATTTATTATGATAGAAATGAATAATAAATTTGACATGGCTTTGAAACAACATGAAAAATTCTGCAGGTTGACGTTGTAGGAATAACCTATGTTTATCAAAACATGTAATTGCAGAGGTCATTCGAGGTCACACATGTAAATTATTAATCATTTCTGGAGATGCAAGAAAAATAGGTTAGCACGAAATTAGGTTACTCGACTGTATCTGAACAAATGGGGATATTGTCTGTATACCATACTGTATGTCTTGACTTCATTGAATCTTAAAAGCAACAAACCTTGTTCATCAAAATATTTTTCTAAATGATTAACAATTCCATTGACTTCTGCAAAATCATTCTGATCAATTTGAGGAAAATTTAACCAGTCCTGCAAGAGATAAAAATTGTTCAAAAAATGCTCATTTCATTCTGGTACAAAAGTAATGGTGTTCATTGATATAACCTATATTCGTGTATTTAAGGATTTAACACAGAATTTCGCCAGATTTGAAAAACAGAATTTTTTTTTTGAAGTTTCCTCAGATATTCTATAATATAATTAAAATTGGTTTGTTTCGATTTTCTTCATGAATCCCTCACTTTGGCCCATATTTCATATTTCATGAGTAACCAACTCAACAACGGCGGCAAAATGCCTCACCTATTTTCTTGTACAATGTTTGACCCATAAAACAAGAAACCCAATGGCATAATTAACTGTTCTTAGTATTTATCTTTAATATTTCATTATAACTAATGACAATTCCTTCAAAGATAAATAATTCAAGAAAAAAATTTTGACAGACAAAATTAGACAAGTAAAACGTAAGATTGATTTATTGCTAAAAGTCATTGAAACTACATAAGAATATGGCCCACATTGTGTTCCATAGAATTTTTCTGCTGACACGGAATCTGCTAGTTTGTCATGTGAAGTCGTAAAGTCATTGAAACTACATAAGAATATGGCCCACATTGTGTTCCATAGAATTTTTCTGCTGACACAGAATCTGCTAGTTTGTCATGTGACGTCGTTCGCAGACGACACTTGGAATTCCGAATACAGCTAGGGATTATAAGGAAATTCGGCAGATAAAAAATAGTGAGATTTGGTAATTTATAACTGAAATCCACCATTTTGTTTATGTCAAAGTATACATTACCGGTACTACATTTACCTTGCTTGAAACTACTGGATTCATTCTGCTAGCTGATAGTGTGCAGACAACCCTTGTTTATCAAAAGAAGCAAATGCGGAGGTCATGCGAGGTCGCTCATGTAAATTATTAATCATTTCCGGAGATGCACGAAAAATAGGTTAACATGAAATTAGGTTACCGGTACTCGACTGTTTATACTTTAATGGGGATGAGACATGAAACCTTTTGCCAATAAATCCATAGGCACTCTAATTCTATAGTGAAATTAGGTCTAATACCTATAAAGTGAAATTTTAAAGAAATTTAAGACAGTTATCAAATACCATATAATCATACAAGTCAAGTAACCTAATTTCGTGGAAACCTATTATTCGTGGATTTCCGAAAAGTTTAATAATTTACATGAGCGACCTTCGCATTAGTTTGTTTTTATAAACATGGGTTTTCTGTACAATATCAGCTAGTAGAATGAATCCAGTAGTTTCAAGCAAGGTAAAATGTATTAATGTATACTTTGACAAATACAAAATGGCGGATTTCACTTATTACCAAACGTCACCATTTTTTATCGGCCTAATTTCATTATAATCCCGAGCGGTAATCGGAATTCCAAATGTCGTCTGCTAGAATATAATCCAACGAATGAAGTCACGTGATCAAGTAGCGGATTCCGTGTCAGCAGAAAATTTCTATGGAACACAAAGTGGACCATATTCTTATGTTGTTTCAGTGACTTTTAGCAATAAATCACGCTACGTATCTTATTTTGTCAGTCACTATTTTTTTGAATGAATTGTCACTAGTTATAATGAATTGATATTAAAGATAAATACTAAGAGAAGTTAATTATGTCACTGGGTAACCATACGACGCGTTTTTCTATACTTATTTATAGAGCAAACATTGTACACGAAAATAGGTGACGCATTCTGCCGCCGTTGCCGAGTTGGTTGCTCATGAAATATGGGTCAAAGTGAAGGATTCATAAAGAAAATAAACCAATTTTAATTATTTTATAGAATATCTGAGGAAACATCTAGGACATAAAAAAAAATTCGTTTTTGTTAACTTTGACGAAATTCAGTGATGAATCCTTATATCCACGAAAATAGATTAGGCTACAACACTGTAGGTTAATGCAGATAAGTGAAATAAGACTCTTAAATCAGCTACCGGGTAGGCTATTAGAATTAGGGCCTACCAATATCATGACTGTTTTTGATAATGGTATTTAATATTTGTGTAAGTTAGCATTGTCGTTCATATTAATGTCAACTTAGCTACAAACTCTTACCTTCTGAAATCTTCCCAAGAAAAGGTTTTTTGTGAAGGGGTTGTTTGTTACACCAATTTTATTACTGTGAAGTTTCACGGTTTTGGCCTCCCCACTTGGTGAGGTTATTTCATTTTCAACTTCTTTCTCTGTCAAATCTGATTTCTGTGACCGCCACCGATTGATTGACAGGCATCTGGTATGACTGTTATAAGTCAGACGTAAAGGTCTGTAGCATTTTTGAATAAATTTTGGCTTTGAAAGCATTATTTTCAATGTTTATCACTTCAGTTTTAGTAAGTCGGCAAAGGTGAAAGTTCAGTTCAGTTCTCCCGTGAAGGAGGCAAAACGAGTCTATACAGGGAGCATTCATTGTACAGTAGTACCTGTCTGTAGCGACCACTTTTAAGTTCTTACATTTTGAATCGATATTTCACACTGTTTTGAGGATTGCATGTTGATGTCTGAATTACATATCAAATCTATCAATAGGCTTAAGGAAAAATTTTACTAATTCTCTTAGCTCACCTTTTGATGCCATAAAACGGGGTGTCTTGAGCCGTTTTTTTAACATTTTTTAAACATTTTTTTAACATTTTTGTTAATTTTTTTCGGGAATAACTTAGACCATTTATTTTCAGTTCGTAGATTAGTTATACCCTTACCTTTACCATGGTGAACAAATCTAAACAGTGACATAAACCATGTTTGATATTTTTATACAATAGTGCAGAGGCCCACTTCATGAGGTGAATAGGCTCAGTAAATTTTTTATATAGGAAAACTGTATAAAACTTGAAATGGGAATCAGGTTAGCATTTGATGTTGAATTGGGCCATTTAATATTAAATAAAAAAAAATGAACATAACAGGTTGATTTAAGTGACAAAAAAACAACAATGTTAAAGCTATTATGGCCGGTTATCAAGAACTCCTTAAAGGGGTCGTAAAAATGTTTTCTAAATTTCTTATGTGTATAGGAGACACTGATAGTATCAATCTGCCACATTCCAATTTTCAAGTGGCTCTTGCAATTCCACTAAAACTAAGCGATTTATGATGCCACCATGGCAAAAGCTGATATATAAGGACCTTTGGGATGGTGACATCATAAAACACCTAATTTTAGTGGAATTGGCAGAACAAATGTCTAATCAAAAATTGGAATGGTGCAAATTGATGCTATGAGTGTACTGGATACACAAGCAAATTTTTACACCTCTTTACAGTCCCTTTAACAAAAAACAATGTATAATTTAATTCATTCTATGTCTTTTTACCGATAGACAATAATATCGTGGGTGACCTCGTATATGCCATGTTTGATCATTTTGACTTTTTGGTTCCGTTCGAAAGCGGGGATCTTGTGATCAAAACCTCGTACTCTTGATTGTAAATAACTCACAAACACTTTATAAAAAGTCAGTTTAAAACTTCGTCAAATATTATATTATACAAGATTCAATGTTCCTTTTTCTGTGGATGAAAACAAAAAACCTTGTATACTGTAATATTATACGAGTTATTGGTTCAATAGGCCGGAGTACTCGAAATGTTATACAAGGTTTATATTTTCAAAGTATGAAAACCACATAAAAAAATAATTAAAAAGATTTTAACAAAATACGCGTACAAATAGTTCTTTGCGTTTTTCTCAAAAAGTAATTTCAAGTCACGATATGCATTATGGAATTTTCCAAAACAAGATCCTAACTTTTTTATAAAGAATATCAATCCTTTTCTTACAATATAAGTATCATTCAGTTACCCCCTTTGTATGCCAAGTCACCCATTACATAGCCCAAGTTACCTCAACAAAAATCCCAAGTCACCCCATATTTAAAAACACCCATGAAAATGAAAAACTAGACAGGTACAAAAATTTGCAGTCAGACTTGTGAATATTACCATCATGTTTTCCATAAAAAATCAAGTACACTTGATGATAGAGTATGATGGGCCAGATAAAGTTTTGCCAAAATTAGAAAAATGTCAAACTTAATGATTTCTTAAAAAAAGAATTCTTGAAAAACGAAAATGCTTAGAAAAATGAAAGTATGCTTATCTAATACTTTAATTATCCTATTTTCATGTGAAAAAGTGTCAGTCAAGAATTTCAGGTGAAATTAGTTTTATGACATAATTTGTATATTATATTGTATTATTTCATACACCCTGGCCCAAGTACCATTTCATGATTAGAATTATAGAGTTATTTTTAAAATTTTTAAATTCAAAATCAGTTAACATTGGATTAGATTGTAGAATATAAAAACAATAGAATTTGATCATGAAAGTATATCAACAAATAGGAGTTTTTAAGAATTTCTTCACTCTTAATAATAACAAAAAATAAAAACTGTTAAATTGAGCTAGGTTCTAATACTATAAATTGTCTATAACTCTATCATAATAGACCTTATTCACGCCTCGTTTTTGAGACACTTAAAGCAAGGTTCATAACACAAATTATGTCATCCATTGATAAGATGGCGACGTCATATAAAAAGGAATATTATTGTATATAAATGAACTGTTAAACAAAAAAACGTAGAAATCTGAGAATTAAAACAAAAAATCAAGTGTGAAATAAAGAAGTGAAAACTTCAAACATAATGACACCCAACAATTAAGGTCTTAACAGCTGTAGTAGGAGTAATCATCAAAATAAATATCAAACTATGTAACAAACAAATCTTGTTTTCATTCACAATAAATATTCAAAAAAAAATTAATTTCAGTATATTTTATTGAAGATTATACATTGCCATAAATTAAAAAAAAAAAATACGGATCAGTGTGTTTTATTCAAGACAATTCCTAACAATATATTTTCCCTTATGCACAATGATTTCATTACACAGATTCAGTCCCCTTTTTTGTCTTTCGCAAGGATTCAGTTTTGTATATTTTGTACAAAAAATAATTCAGTTTAGTGTTACCTTATTCAAATTTATTTATTTCCATATGTTTTTTATGCACAATGATTGATTCATATAATTTTTCTTTCACAATGATTCAGTCCTGTATTTTTGTTTTTATAATTATCATTCAGTTCTGTATATTTTTTACTTTCATTGTGATAAAGTTCAGTTTATTTTATTCACAATGATTCAACTCAGTAGAATCCGTAACATATTTCTGAACACTATCCCATTCGATTATACAGCTAGAACATAATCTCATTGCTGTTAGTAATTCTTTTACTGTAGCATCTCTAGCCTTTCTTTGACGCCATCGATTTAAAGCAGAAAATAATTGCATTTGTGTGCTACTTCTATTATTCTCCTTATCTTGATAAACCTGGGCTTCAGAATTTCCCAAAAACAAAACCACACCTTCCCATCCATTTGCGAAAAAATTTGACAGACGGAGCAAATTTTTTTCATTCAAAGACTTGTTTTTCTTTTCATCAGGTAAATCATCTATCCAACAAACTATAAAAGAAAGATATTTATAAGTAATAATAAAACAAAATACAATGTGAACAACTGTTTTCTTTTAACCATGTAATATATCTTGGCCTATCTGAATGAAAGTTCAATACTAAAAACAAAGCTGGCATTCAGCTAAGTTTACAAGAAAACAATGAATTATAAGGCAACTCAATTACTTTTCAGCAATAGGCATACAGTTAAAATATAAAAACTCTTACATGGATCTTGAGGTTGCTGTACCACTGTGGATGTTAGTTCAACTGCTGCATGCTCATAGCCTTTTCTCACTAAGTGCCTTCAGGAATTTGTCATATGCATTAGGTCCTGATTTACTCAATATGTCTAACATTGTTCTTACACCATCTTTGTTACTACGACTTTCAGCTTTCTCTATACGATCCTTGTCATCGTCATCTAAAATTTGAAAGCTGAATAAGTCATCAACTAAATGTCCAGCAACCAGTTCATTACATAGGAATTCTCTTTGTTTTTGTAAAATACTGTATCCTGGCTCCGGCATCTTACTCCTTATTTTAGATCCCATATTTCTGCAGAAAAATACAAATATTAATAAACGGTAGATCTAAATCTTCAAAATACTAAATAGCTAAATTGTGAGACAATGGTTAAAAGTATGGGTTAACACAGCTTGGAGACGATGACAAATATTTACCGCTATTATTGAAGTTGTGTCATATGAATCGACTAATAATATTTAGCTTCCCCAATCTATAAATAAATAAATAAAAAATATGACAGACGGACTCAGACATTGATTGGCTGTTGTTATTACATATTGCCAATTGTCAACGTTGACTATATGAACAGTTTTAAGATTTCACCTCTTAAAAATTTCTCGGTTTTAATGAGTACCTTATTATGTAAACGACTCTCCTGATTTTGGTTTCCTTGTCCACCCCTTTATTCCAAGTACTGTTATTATAAATGTTATGCGTCCTTGACCTTGGTCTCTATTAAGGTTTGACTCAACACCAAAAATGCACTGTTGTATTGAAATAGAAAAGCACCATGAATGGCAATGTCCGACTTGAATTAATGAATGCCTTCATAATCCTAAATTGAACTTAAATGAATTTTGGATTTGTGTCTGATTGATGTTCGTGTGTCTCAGACTACAGTTGGTGTGTCTTTACCGGAAAGAAGGGCAACATTAATACCTCAAAGCATATTGTTAAGCCTTCTTTTTGTAGGGCCTGACTCTATATGACAATGCCTACCCTACTCAAACGAGCAATGATGGGCACTGCATTTGTTATCTTGAGTTTTGTATTTCCTTTCAATTCCCATTAATAGGCTATAGGCTCTATATATGACTAAAATTCATCATATTATTTATTTAGTCAATATTCATGTTACACAAAGTAAATTCAAGAAGTTAAAATAATAACAAAAGATAACAAATTAAATTTAATTTTATTTTGGACATTTCTTAAGTTAACAAAGCTAGCAATTTTTTTAGCATAAACAATTCATCACACTGAGCTACGAATTTAAAAAGGAAAAAAAGTTATTTAGATTTAAATGGCAAGATTTGAATTAGCTTCTCCAGCTTTTCAGAAATTTAAAACAGTTTTGACATTGTATAAAGATAGTGGACCACAGCCATATATGCCCACCGCGCCATGCGGATGGTAAATATTTAGGGCATGGGCAATAACTCTGCTACTTACGGTCGAAAATAGCTCAAATTCGAACTTGATCTTTGTTTTATGAATATGTATACACATACCAAATTTCATTTGATTCCATCAAAAACACTAGTTTTTAGAGCGTTTACAAGCAAATGTTGACGGACCGACAATATACGTCCACATAGAGAGATGTGGGAGTATAAAAAGATGACTAAGGGAAACTTGGTCCAATCACAAAATTTGAAATCATTTATTTTTTTATTGAGACTACTTTTCATGAACAAAATTTTTTACAGACTACTATAATTGATGTTAATTGTTTGAGGGCAAACAATGTTTCAATAATAAAGGGATATAATAAACTAGCATTAGTAGTAAAACCCAAGTACTATGGTTCTTATACAAAAGATATTTTGAAAAAGTTAGGAATCCACAAATTTATGTCCCCTCATATATGCATATGCTTCTTAGGACAATCCCATGAAAATTTGGTGCTATTGAAAGAAATTTGATTTTATAGATATAGATATTTTTATAAATAATTGAACACTCATATATTCTGAGAGAGTAGCCTTTACTAGCTTATTGGTCAAACCATTGCAGTGTTTATTACAGAACTTTACGCCAACTCAGTAATCAACCAGATTATTTAAATCTTCAATATCAACAGTTAAGTAATTCTGCTGTTTACACTCAGACTAATCAAATGCTGAGATGCCTGAAAACATAAAATTTAATAAATTTCAACGAAATATATATACAGCAATATTGCAGATTTCAGCTATTGTATTTGTACCTTAAAACTTTTTTTTAACAGTGGTTTTCTCACCTGTAAAACTCTAAAAGCACAAGGAACTTTAGTCTCTAGAAAACTACCATATAATGTCAAGGCACTTCTTAATTTTACATAATTTCTAAAAAAACAAAAATATTTTTACAAATTTGTAATATCCAAATTTTAAATATAAAGGCAAAATAAAATTAAATAAAAGATAAAAACCTGAGAATAGAAGAGTTTTAGAAAGATTTTCAAATATTCTTCAGTACTGACATAATAGACAAATCCTATTTGAAGTTTACTAAAAGGCAACTATCTCAAGATGGCATACTGAAATATTCTAAATAACTACTATTTAGTTATGAAAGAAAGAAAAAAAGAAAGAAACAACTATATTTTACAAGGATAACAACTTAGGTTCAAAGTTAAGGATCCTTTCTACCAGCTGGTCCTTGGCCATACCTTTTGGCATTGATCTTTCCCAGCTTATCCATACCCATTTACAGCTGGTTTGACTGGAATTATGAGTGAAGATAATTTATTCAAGGTCATCGGACTAACGAACGCCGATCGAGAATTGAACCCACAGCCGTCATTTGCTCAACTCAAAGCAAATGATGTCATGTTAAGATATGAAATGGACATTAAAGGGATTGTAAAGAGGTTTTCTAGCCTTTTTATGTGTATCAGAGACACCTTTGACTTATATTAGGGACATTCCAATTTTTTGTCCAATGCCTGTGGTTCCTACAATTGGAATGTCCCAAATAGAAGTGAATGGCGTCCGCGTCCCATTGACTTCTATTTTATATTATAAAAAGGCTAGAAAATCTCTTTACAATCCCTTTAAGATTTTCTACATAACTTACTCTTTATCAACTCTTAATATAGATGTTGAATCATTTTCACTGAACTTTAATACATCAACATTTACACTAGCACCAACCTGCAAATACAAAATATGATCACTTTTTAAATCAGGGGCTTTAAGAATATTTACATAAAAGCACCTCCTGGTTTACACTGAAAGGGTGGTCATTGGTTCTTAGCCCAGGTGAAAGTCTATAGACCTTATTCAAGCCTCATTTTGAAGCATTGAAAGCGAGGTTCATAACACAAATTACTTAATCCATTCATAAGATTTCAACATTATATGAATGAATATCCAGTTTACATCATTAGACACACACACTCAACATCAAGAAAATAGGCTTCAAACTATCTGAAAGTAACACTAATTAGCTTGATCAATTCTAAATCTAATGATGTAAAATATGATTAATTTCAAAAGACGTCAAGGTGGCGATTTTTTGCAGTGAGGTTACCTTTCAAGGTTTGCGTTATGAGCCTCGTTCTGGATTCAGTATGGCCAAAGTGTGAATAAGGTCAATTGATCTTGAATAAGTCATCTCTTTTATTACTATTTGAATCAACCCTTGACATTAAACAAAATAACATTATTCACCTCTCCAAACAACTCCTTCATTGCCATTGTGATACTCTTCTTGTATAATAAAACATCTGTCTTATTCTTTTTATTTTCAAATTCTCTAAAATAACAGTATCTAAGTCATTGATAATGAAAGAACAAGCTCCAAGAACAATCACATATAGGCCTACCCTAAATAAATTTGAATAGTAATTACGCCTAGGTGTTTAAGCAGAAATTTTTTATGCTGTTATCTTTTAATTTCCTGTTTTAGAGACTTATGACTACATGGGGCAGGTTACTTCATACCAAATAGAGTACATCTTATCTCTCTAATAAAATAACAATATAATACGATTCTTCCATCTAGAATTCAACCAAAATATACCATGTCACAGGATAAAACATTCTCACAAATTGTCATTATTTATGACATAATGTTTAATTACAAGTGAACAGGACATGATCAGATGTTAATTCTGAAGGGTGCCTAAATGATAGCTAATATTGAACTCTATTAGCTGGTAACACGGGTAAGACCGTAAGACAAATATCAAAACAACAGTACAGTATCCCTTTAAAAGAGGGAAGTTCTTGTTTATAAGTACTGGGTATTTAAAGCTTAATGCTAAAAACAAAACTCAGACCAATACTTACAACTGAACTTGAAGATAATAAAATGGCAAACTTTCCTTGCTCACGCTTTTGCTATTTAAATCTTTCATTTTTATAGTCTGAAATAAGAAAACTTTAAAAATTGACAAAAGTGATAGAAATGCAATGTTTAATTTCTATAATTCAAGTCTGTGACTATGTTCCGAAAAGGTAACAATAGAAATAAATACCTACTCAGCAGCCTAGAAATATTTAAGGGTTCTGCTTTTCTTAGGATATTAGTATCATCTTGAAGTAAAAGGACAAATTACAACAGCTTCAAAATCATTAGCCCAACTGTGGTTCAGATACAACTACACAGTTAAATGTTGTCTGAAGCCATAAATAAGTACATCATCAACAAAGAAATTATACAGTAAAATTTAAAAATACACAGACAAAAGTGACAATACCTTCAGCTTTCTCATTAAAAAGGAATCCAATAAAGGCTTTCAATTCATGAAATTCTAATTCACCTGATGGCAATATCTTGGAGTTCTACTATTCAGTGCAGTTTTCGAACAGAGTTACATCCCTTGTGGGAGTTTTTTTTCAAAAATGGGTTTGTCTAATTTCCAAAATTCTGCCCAAATAAATAATAATAGGAAAAATAGCTTTGAACCCATATCCTCCTTTATAACAAATGAAAATTTGTTTTATGGCGATTTTCCGCATCTCCGAAGGGGATTTTTTTTAAACATATCTATTCATCTCGAATCCACCAAACTCCGATAGATTTGACCATTATATAACCTTTGGCTCTTTAAATGACGAGGAATTTAATTTGTATTGATCATATTTTCATTTTACAGTAATATTTATAGGATACAAATTCTTATTGTCAGACTATACGGGATAGAGAGAGACAAAAAACGAAACATCTAAATCTGCATCACCAACGTAACCACCAACTCTTTGCACTTTATTCGTATACACTGTTCTATCAGAATCTATAGGATACTTTACCTAATCTACTCCTCACATATAATAAATACACCTAATAATATCAAGATTTGTATTGGTTCTCAGTTTTAAAAAAAATTAAGCTTTTACTAATAAGGGAAAGTCCCAATCAGTTTTTTATCACCAATTTGTATTTAAGTTAATCTATACATTATAAATGATAATTAATGTTTGTTTTATGTCATTTTTTAGTTGTCTATGTCAGATTCTTCAGACTCGAGGATAACTTCCTGTAAAATTTTAGCATCATCTTTGGATCCCTTTTTCGGTACCAATTTTTCATACTCTGACTTAGGAGGCGCCTTGTAGCAAAAACATATAATAATAAGAACAACAGCAAGCACAGGCGATGTCATAAGAAGTCCGAACAATACTGGTTTTTCCTTGAACAATAGTTCCGCCTGCTCTTCCATTTTTGTCGGATTCCTTACCACCATATTGAAAGACATAACTGTCCACAATCGTTTCGTCGTACCATCGTTAACCACACAGTCCCATTTCCCAGTCATATTCTCATTCAAGGGGGCAAAATCTGCCTTGGAAAAATCCTGAGCAGAAATCCTACCCAATCTCTCATAATATTTCCCATTAAACCTCCATTCTTTAGTTGCTCTTTTGAATAGAAGACCAAACACTATACTAGGACAAAGTCGTTTGAATGGTTTCAACTTGTTCAGGGAAAAATCCGTTTTTCCAGAGTTTATCACAAGGGTAAAAATGTCCATTGTTATAAATTTGTTCGTAGAATATTCCAATTTGCACACATATGTACCATCGTCTGATTTAGTAGCACTTTTGATTTCTACTTTTCCATTGACTAAATCGAGTCTATCGCTCGCCTTTAAGATTGCCCCATTGAACATCCAGCTGTACAATGCCATAGGGTACTTCTTAAGCACCATAGAGGAGACATCACTTTCGCAGCTAAATTGGACCGTCTCAGAAAGAGATTTCTCGTAAGCATTATGAGAGTAAAATATATGTTGGTATATCTGTAGTTGGAGGGGGTAGGGAATATCCGAGGTCACCAGCCTTTGTTTATTTGCCTTATTTCGTAGCTTAAAATATGCTTCATCATCATCTTCTTTTATTTTATCTTTTTTCTTTTTTGGTTTAAATTTAGATTTGAAACCTACAATTATATTCATAAAATGTGTACGAGTAGTCAGGCGAATCGAACCCTTGCCTTTGCCATTGCCTTAAGCCTTAGTCCTAGCAGTACATCGTTGTGCCACATTCATGAGGCTGTTATATAGTTTTTGCTTGCATTAAATCTTGAAACCAGCTAATAACAGAAGCAGTTTTACAACTTGGCTTAGTCTCTACCTATACACATCTCCACAAGCATTTACACCTGATAAATTATTCCGATAACACATCCTGTGCTGTTTTACCAGGCCAACTGTCTTCTGAAAACGTAGAGTAACTCATCTATTCTCAACTCAAAACTTACCTTGACAGACTATTGATAATTGCAGTAGAAATAACAACAAAAAAATGCAATGAATATTCATCTAGCACCAGTTTGACTTCACAAAATGTCACTTGTTTTGTCACGTCCATCTTCTGTGCTCTCCATTCTGACGTATAGCTCAAATCATACAGACGTAGTGGATGACGTTACAAAGCAACGTACATGACATGGCAAAGAATTTAGTGCAGTGGTTGACCACAATGAAGAGGCCACCTATTTAGCGAATTTTCAAACAATTCTTCAAAACTTGACTTCAAAATAAAGCCGACACGGGCTGTACCATAGGGTAACATGGAGGAATACGCTCCCCCAAAGGACTCGATACTTGTTTCCTTTTACAGATTTAAGATCTACAGATCTAAGATTTACAGACTTTAAGATCGACTTCGACAGTGAGGGTATTATAAGTTCTGTGTTTTTTTGTGTATCAAATAGATAAATAATATACCATTGACAGAACATACAAAGATCGGGTAAGATAATCCGGCCCCTCATGTGACGGGGGCATTGCGATCTAACTTGTCCTATTACTAAAATTACTAAAGATCACCTATATCAGCAATTCATTTATTTCATTTGTTAACACGATGATATATTGATGCGCCCACCCACGACAATTAATACATTGAATCCAATCTTCATTGCTAGTGGAAAAAAGCTCTGTGCAATATATGCATTCTGTATCATCAACCGTTACCAAATTTATTTGATTTACTGGTTTTGGAACTTTCTTGGGAGTTTTCCGAGTTGACTTTATATTTGATTTTAATTTTCGTTCTTCTTTTTCTTCAAGGACATTTTTATACGGCGATGATGTAAGCACGGTAGATGACTCTGCTTTTCTTTTCCCGGGTGCTGAAGTTTTTACTTTCGGCATTGGGGATAACTAAGAAATGATCTCGGCTGCTTTCTTCTTATTAGATGTTCTATAAACGAGCGAATTTTGCGCAACAGATCGGGGAAAAGAAGATGAAGTCGATGGAGCAGGAGTCGATAACAATGAAGCAGGTGTCGATGACGATAGGGCAGGTGTCGATAATGATGAAGCAAGTGTCGATGACGATGGAGCAGGTCTCGATGAAGATGGAGCAGGTCTCGAAAACGATGGAGCAGGTCTCGATGACGATGGAGCAGGTCTCGATGACGAAAGAGTAGGTGTCAGGAACGATGAAGCAGGTTTCGATGACGATGGAGCAGGTCTCGATAATGATGGAGCAGGTGTCGATGAAGCAAGGAACGATGACGATGGAGCAGGTGTCGATGACGATGAAGCAAGTAACGATGACGATGAAGCAAGTAACGATGACAATGGAGTAGATCTCAATGACGATGGAGCATGTGCCAATGATGATGATGGAGTAGGTGCAGATGATGAACCAGGTGCTGATCACGATGTAGCAAGTGTCAATAAAAACAGAGCGGGTCTCGAAGACGATGAAGCAAGTGTTGGTCTCGGTGAAGATATCGACGGTGTCAATGCCCATGTTGGTAATGATGACAAGGTGGGGTTTACAAGTCCTTCGGTAATTATTACGACGGTAATGTTTTCTGTATCAACCACATTAGGGGGTTCTTGATCTGTGGCTGATGCTGACAGGAAGTCTTCGTCATTGAAATGATCTGAACCAAAGGGCCAAATTCCTGTACATTCAAAACCCTAAACAGCCTTATCCACAGTGACTGCTTTCGTGTAAGCTGAACCAAATAAATAGCCCATCTCATATACCGTAACTCTTCCACCAGGATGGGCAGACATCCAAGTATCAACTATACAACTGTAGTTGCTTTTAAAGCTTTTGAAAAAGGTTCAAGCAAGAGGATGCATTTTATGGCTGCAGTGTAGGGTAATCATTACCAATCTCTTAGAGCGTGCCAATGTCACTGCATTTAGGGTTTTATGAGAGTTATACCCACCAAGAGCAACATATGAGGATTCTCTCGGGTACAGCCAGCATATTTCATAAAATGGTTTAACCAATCTATCTATCCATCCAGAATGATACTTTCGCTATTGATCCTGGAGGTGCGCCTTTGATTAGATTATCATTCAAGCGCATGCGAGGAAAAATAAACATAGGCGGAACATAAATTCCACTTGCACTCATAGCACAAACAGCAGTGACATTTATTCCTCTTTCTCCACTAGTCACCTTACGGACTTGCTTTACACCTTTTGATGCCATAATTTTGCATGGAACGCGAACATTTTGAATGCCGGTTTTATCCACATGCCATAATCGGTCGGGTGTTAAATTTGGATTTCTAGACATTGTAAAACTGGTCTGTTTTAACCTTATTGAAACCTGTTGCACGCATTATGCTGGTTGTCTGGGGTGTTCTTATAGCCATATCTTTATGACGGGTCATGAATCCTTGAAGCCAATCAACCCCTGCCATTTTCGCTGCTTTATTGAATGGGTGCTCGAAGTTTGATGCCACTGCAAGATCATAAGCTAACCTTCTTACATCAAAGGAGGTTAATCCGAAGAGGGCCCGCTCCATTGCTTGAATGTGTACAACAAGTTCGTGTTCGAACTCTTTGGTATTACTGATTTTCTTCCCAAAACTTTTTAGCCTCGCTGTAATACTTTATTGTCCCTATGTCTGCGCAATGTCCTAGCAGGTACATTGTACTGTCTTGCGAAACCTTTCGGGGTGTCACCATATTCCAAAGCTTGTAGGGCATCTCTCAAAATATCATTGCCATAACCTCCTCGGTTTGAGGTGCGCTTGTAGTGACAAACCATATCTGAAATAACGAATAATTGTTAAGGGGTAAAACGCCCCACACCGAGGGGCAAAACGCCCCCAAGTGCGTCTTTATTTAGTCCCAAACATATGTGGGCGTATATTGTCGTCACCCATGTCCGTCCGTCGTCTGTCGGTCCGTCCACAATTGAACTAGAAGGCACAATTCTTTACCGATTTTGACGAAACTTTGTACAATTGTTTGTAATCACCCACGGATGACCCCTTGTGAAAATCAGAAAAAGTGAAAAACATTTAGTATGAGTTGTTGCTCTTGTTCAATTTTGATCTTGTGTACGCTCTAGAAGGTTGAATTATTGACAGATTTTGACGAAACTTGGAGTGAGTGTTTGTTGTCACCTAAGGGTGAACTCTATTAATAATCAGAAAAATCGGAAAATATATAGTATGAGTTATTGCCCTTCTTCTTAAAAACGCGATCAAGTATTAGCCTGTAAGCACACCAGAAGACCCATTCCTGACAAATTTTGAATTTTTTTTTATAAAATTGATGGATACGCAGGCGTGACGTAAATGATGTAGGGAGATAAAGATTCTGAAATATCCATCTTTCCAAATATATATGGGTTAAAGTCTTTAAAATACCAGGAATTGAAACCTGATCTACGATTACCATTCTTTCAGCATATTTGCAATATAGGGGGCATACTATTATTGCCAAGTCTCCTGCTCTTAGTAATACAATTTGATTCGTTTTTTTTATAACAAAAATGATAAATTCATTTCGACAGGGGCAGAACCGATAAGACTGCCTCTTGACACACTCATGTGTGTGATTTATCAATTCAAATCAAATTACTTTACTCGGCAAAAAAAGCACCAAGAGCTGAACAATATCTATATCAATAATTAGGTTACATCATTTGATGACGCAAGCAAAACTGAAAATCATTCTGATTCATTGGTCAATTCATTTAGTATGACATTTGTTTCGAAGTCTAACGTTATTAGTAATTTATCGTGCAACTTTAACAATCAGCGTTTTGTCTTGACATCGGAAACCCCCTTAATACTGCGACATTTTGACTCAGATTATAACCTGTCACGTGGTTCCGATAAAGATTTACTAGATCTATAAAGAGAATGTTGATGCTTATTATATTACTTCCTTTATTATATTGAAAATAACTATTCTGCAAACTTGGAAACATCACAATGATGACCTTTGGAATTTTAGTGTTTATTTTCTCAGGTTTGATCATATTTATTAACTTATTACTGCGTAATGTCACTAATGTCTGTGCAAAGGAAACCTAGAATGCCTGTGATGTCTGCATTAAGCTAGTAATTTCAGTGATATTTGCCTGCAAAATTACATTTTTTCAGTGCAGTTTGTTTGGATGATCTACATTATTTTCGCTGTTTGATTTCAGTAATTATATTTGGATAAACATTCGTTTAAGTATGGTCTGTTCGGATAAACATCTATCTTAGTATTGTTCGTCTGGATAAACAGTAATTTAAGTACTGTTTATTTTGTCTGCGAATGAACATTCATCTGAGTATTGTTTGTATAGATAAACTTTCATTCAAGTATTCTTTACCTAGATAGACATCCATCTAAGTGTTCGTTGCCTCGATAAAAATCCGTTTAAATATTGTTTGTCTGGATAAACTGCGTTACTATTGTCTGAATAAGTGAAGTAACTTCAGAGGTGTTTGTAGCCATCATGTTTATTTATTTCAGTAATGATTGGAAGAATTGCATCACAATGTGAAATAGAAACCTGTGATAACTATGATCTTTTAACCCAGGAAAATTCTTTAGGTCTTATAAGATTAGACGAGGTCGATCCCCTGTGCAGGTACAAAGTTTTGTCTTATATATTTCTGAATTATGCTTAGATATTGCTGAACAAAACGGTCTTGGACCCCGAGTTGAATGCACAATACATTTTTGCGAGAAACTATATATCACTGACATTTCACTCATTTGATTAATAAGTTATGTACTTATGATTAATGATATCCGTTATTTATTTTCCTATTGTGTGACTTTATTTTCTTGTTAATATTAGAAAGTACTTAACAATGCTGCCGCAGATTCATAAATATATGCATATGATCAGTAACAGGGATTCTAACATACAATACACCCCATATTTTGTTTGTAAAATATCCCCAAAAATGTAATTCGGTGACTCCAATCAATATGTAAATGTCATTAATTAATATGAGAAGGTGTCAGTTTAAATGCGTAGTGTTCGTTATCTGTCACTGGTTACTTTTTTCACTATGATCAAAATAATCTATTGTAATACAAATACTGGTGCATGGGTCCAATGAACTAGTTATCTCAAGAGAATCTATCACTTATTCAACTCCGTATTATTTTCAGTATAATAGATCAGTTAGAAATGTGTGTCAATAGAAGTATTCAAGATTGCCAATATAGTGATAGGAGCATGTTCGAACCTGCTTTAAGAGCAGCAACAGTCATATGTAAAAATACTGATGGTATGTAACAGTTAAAGTTAAACCCATTTCCAAATTCCATAAGGTATACTACTGTTAAATGTTATATTAATAATGGTATAAACTTTTAAATGTTAATAAGTGGCTAAATTAATTAACATTTTACGTGACTGTATATTTTAGCATATAGGAAAGCTCTTCAATGTTACTTTAATTCTGCTGTTGAAGAAATAGTTGATATTTGTACTGAAAACTTGGGCGAAAGCGACATGAGCTGCGGGTAAGAAGTGACAAATTTTTCATTCTTCTTACAGTTGTGTCCGAGTCATTTTAGCATCACAATTCTCTAATCTTTTGCATTTAAAAGAATTAGTTGATAGGCCTAATGATATCCAGCATATTCGTCTAATCATTTTTCTTAATCAAGTGGTTTATATCAATGTCTGCTATCTAAATAACATGGTATTATACTTCGACATCCGATTCTGTGATAAGTCAACAAATTCAGACTGTCGTCACTTCCGGAACGTTAACGGTCTTCTCTTGTGGAGTTAAAGACTTGACAAGCATCTTATCGCTTATTTTACAGGAGTATTTTGGCTTACCAGACTTGTATAACAGCAGATAATTCTTTGAGAGATCATTGTAGTGCATTAGATATTACATTACTTGGTAATATTACCACAGCAAGTATATACATATTTATCCAAAAATACAACTGTATAGTAACTAGTAAGTAGGTCTATACGTTATTATATCCATATATCTCCTTATTCATTTACTTCACCGAAGTCAACGTCTATCTGAGGATCCATGACCACCATTGTCTGTGAGTTGGCAAGCTTGCTCTATAATTTGCGGTCCTGGATTTGACGGTCGGAGGTAAAAATGTTTAACACTTCATGGTGGTATACAAGTGTAGTTACAGAATAATCAATCGAATATTTTTATATTGTAGCTAGATCAACCACATTGCCTTCAACAATAAAGACATCAACAGCATCATTATCAACATTATCAACAACAGCTTCCAGAACAAC